AGGACCTTTTTACTTGCCTTACCCCACTCAACCACTTCAGTTTGTGAAACTGGTACTACATAATACTCGCTTATAAGAAATCAGTATTTTAGTGTGGCAGCATTTACTTTAATAATCTTAAGATACCTCTTTGTAACTGTTTTTAATCAATAATTTTAAGATGGCATCATAGAACTGTAGTGTTGGAAGTGACCCCAGGGGTCAATCCCCTTCAGTGCAGGAATCCTGCCCACAACCATCTTAGGGTGGGTTTGAACCACCAACCTTCTGGTTGACACAGGCAGATGCACTGAGATCAGGTTTTAGTATATATTTCTGTAAACCGCTTAGAGATTTTCTTGCAATCAAGCGGTATATAAATCCTGTTAAATATATTATCAAAATTGGGAGGTGCTGCATGCATTTTTAAAATCACTGCGGGACTCACACCATATTTGCAACCTGAATGGATAATATTCGTAGGATATGAAAGCAAAAAAAAAAGGGGGGGGATACCCAAGCCAATGCTGATACTTAGGCTTTATATTTTACTAAGTGGAATGATTGTAGCTTTGGTATTGAAAAGATGGCTTGTAGGTATATGCACATGGCAGAGGACTGTGAATTAGGGTTGCCATACGTCTGGAATTTCCAGGGCATATCCGGAATACTGCAGCCGCAAGCAGTGTCCAGTGTCAGCAGTGTTGTTTTTGCAGGTTTCCCTCAGAAATAGCTCATTTCTTTGAGATTTTGCAAAAGAAAAGTTCAACAACTTTTCTGTTCGAATTTTCACTTTTTGAAATATAGCAGCTCAAGTACAAAGGTCCTTCACTCTCCCTCTACTCTGTCACAAAGCACAGCAACAACATTCAAGGAGCAATATTTCAAACTCTGCCAGCAAATCCCAACATCAACTGGTTATGCCATATGGAGGTCAGGTGGCCAAACTCCCTGCTGACCTTTGCCATTAATTATCTGTGATCAACTGCATACCCCTTCAGGCCTCCAGTCCGCCCCCCCTCCGACCCAATCACTCCCTTCGGCTTCTTTCCCTCCTAGCAAACAGCATATTTTTTCCCTTCCCCACACCTCTTGCCCCTCCCCCCCAGGAGAAGTATGTTCAACTAATTAAACTTTCATGCACACATAAGCTTGCCTGCATCTACTGGCTCCTACTTTGCATTACCTTACTCCAGCATTAAGAAACCGGGACGCAGTTGTGGGTGGTGGCGGGTGAGCTGCACTCCTAAACTTTTCATAAGTATGTTTAGCACTACTGGAACATCAACTGTACTGGAGAACAAAGCTCTTCTAAATCCTTTGCTAATGGGAATAGGCAGAGCTGGCAGTAAGGCTTATATGCCTACCCCATCCTTCATTCAACCCTTAAAAACCAAATACAATCAGAGGAGCTTCTTCCCAGGTAAGTATGCCTGGGTTTGCAGCCTAAAGCCTTTTGCCAGGATTTGGGGAGAACATCTGGCAAGTGTCAACAACAGTAATACTGCATCCCCCTCCCCAAGTGCAAAGAATGTTACTAACCAGCCAACCAACCTTTTTTGTCTGCCCTGCAAAGGCACCCTTTGGAGAAAGAGAAAAAGAGAAAGAGAAAGAGAAAGAAAGGGATCTGGAGTCCAGTTATTCATATATTTACTGTATTGGCCCCTTGCTGCAGTTGACAAAAGGATGGAATCAAAGCACCATGACAATAAGCAGCATGTGAATACACTCCCACCAGACAATGCCACATACCAGCTCAATTCCCTCAGGATGCTAAACAGCAGTAGATAGGATTCACACCAAGGCTACCTCTATTGGAAGCATCAAGCAGATTTTCTTTCCCAACCTCCACCAACATATGATTGCTACCAGAATTAGCAAGGGAATAAGAATCTGTTTCTACTTCAGTATATAGGCTCACTAGATGGCTTTGGAAAAGTTGTCTATCTGTAAATTGGGAATAACCATCTGGCTCACAGGGCTGTCCAACCCTAACAGGAAACGAGTAGGTACTTCTGAAATTGCCACAGCAAATTTCTGTCAAAACTATGTTCATGACAATATGGTAGGCTTTCAAGATTATGAGTAAAGGTGCCTTGTGTTTTTTACTTTATTTACTGAATCATGCATCATGTAAAGGTAAAGGACCCCTGGACGCTTAAGGCCAGTCAAAGGCGACTATGGGGTTGTGGTGCTCATCTCGCTTTCAGGCCGAGGGAGCCAGCGTTTGTCCACAGACAGGTGGCCAGCATGACTAAACCGCTTCTGGCACAATGGAACACCATGACAGAAACCAGAGCACACGGAAACGCCGTTACCCTTCCTGCCGCAGTGGTACCTATTTATCTACTTGCACTGGTGTGCTTTCAAACTGCTAAGTTGGCAGAACCTGGGACAGAGCAATGGGAGCTCACCTTGTCGCAGGGATTTGAACCGCTAACCTTCTGATCAGCAAACCCAAGAGGCTCAGTGGTTTAGACCACAGCACCACCCACTCCCATACAATCATCCCTGCAACCAATGTATGTGTTATGACTGAAATTCTTAAACCATCAGCTTGATTTATAAAGATAATAGTTCTGAGGCACTTGAACATTAAGCCTAACACAATCCCATGACTATGTAATTGGGAGTCTCACTGAACCCAAAAGGACTTACAGCCACAGCACTGGGCTGCACAAGTACTTACATCAGACACTCTCCGTGTATGAAGGGGAAACAAAGACTTATTGGCAGCATAAAAGTAAATAAAATACACAAATACCAAGCTGCAACAAGACGAAGATTTAAAACCTTCCCATTTATTGTAATATTAGCTTTCAAAGTCAAGAACCTACTTGTTGGCTTGACAACCACTAAAAAAATATCTGAAGAGAGGGTTAATTGTTCTTATGCTGCTGTTTTAGTGTTTTAACTGCAATTTGTATCGCATTGTTGAGGACCTTGGGAAACTATTGAGGGCCAAATGGCAGCACAGAATGTAAAAAAGAGATTAACAATAGTTCACTAGCTGCATGACAGAGGTTTTTGCTCAGAAAGCTCATGCTTGCTATATATCGTATTTTTTGCTCTATAAGACTCACTTTTTCCCTCTTAAAAAGTAAGGGGAAATGTGTGTGCGTCTTATGGAGCGAATGCAGGCTGCGCAGCTATCCCAGAAGCCAGAACAGCAAGAGGGATTGCTGCTTTCACTGTGCAGTGATCCCTCTTGCTGTTCTGGCTTCTGAGATTCAGAATATTTTTTTTCTTGTTTTCCTCCTCCAAAAACTAGGTGCGTCTTGTGGTCTGGTGCGTCTTATAGAGCGAAAAATACGGTATATCTCTCAGATATGATTTGCCCCTTATCCATGGTTAGCCAATATATTAAACATTATATATTATGACCAAAGTGGCAATATGGTGCAGTGATTAGAGTGCCACACTAGAACCATCCACTATCTCACAAATCTAGACACTGTTGTAGGAATAAAATGAGAGATAGGTCCCATTGAAAAGAATTACCCTAACCTACCAAAAGTTCCAAGAAGACACAGGAGTATCCTAAGGCCATTTCCCCTATGCATTCTTTGGAGGATCATGCCCCTTTTCCACCCAAAGCATGCATAGGGCTCACTTTGCACAGGTTCAAATTTCATGTCAATTACAAAAGCTCCCTAGAATCATGGCCTCTCAGGCTCATGGGGCTGCTTAGCCTCTGAATAGGTGAGCTATAAAAATATATGAAGATGACCTTCTCTGAGGATATGGAGAATACATTTCCTTCATTGCCACCAATTAAGCACATATTCACCCAAATATTAATTAGGCGGCAGAGCTTCCAAACAGGTCAGAGCTCTCTCACATCTCGAATTAGAAATTTACCACTGCAGGGAAAGACTCGATATAGTTTGGCCCGGGTCGTATTAACTTGGGAGCAAGACCATCACATTTACTTGGAAGAAAGCATGCTTCGGATCGCAGCCCCGCACATCTATCGCTAAATGATGAAGAAGGTGTCATTAGCAGAAGGGAGATAATTTCAGGCTTAGCAGTTCTGCAGAAGGACCAACAAGCAAAGGAACTTTTACTACTGCTAGCAAAGAACTCTTACTACAGATCGAGTTATTATTACTTCTGATTTCACACATGGGGCGGCCAAAAGGCGAGCCGAGCGCTCTAGGGCGCTAAAATAACTCGAGGAAACGGAAGGCGCCCCTTTGGGAGCTTTAAAAATTATTACGGTGGCGGTGACGGGCCGTGTATTTCAGGGAGAGGAGGGTGCCTCCGGAGGGGGAAAGGGCTGTTCTTTTTCCAGCCTCCTCACTTTCCCAGCTCCCCGTTCAGACCGCGCGCCCCGAAGGCTGCTGCCCCACATCCCAGGTGCTGTGCCGTCGGCCACCTGCTGCCGTTGCCTCCGCCAAGCAATAAAGCGGGACAAAGGGGAGGCGCCGGGCGGGCAACGCACCTGCCGCCAGCAGCAGCTCGTCGTCCCCTTGCCCAGATTCATGCAGTTTTCCCACACAACTCATATTCCCCCAAAAGAGGGACCCGCTGACGGCGGGCACCGTCTTCACGACGCACCTGCAAGGCGCAGCCAAGGCAGCCTCTCCTGGCAAGGGAGCGCTGAGCACCTGCCCGCGCTGAGCTGCTCGCGAGGGGTCTCTCCCTGAAGGGAAGGGATGCCTCCTCAACCCTCTGCGCCTGTGGTAATGCGCGCCCGCTTCTCCACCACGCAAGATGCGCGCAGCCCGACCGAGCCGCGCTCGCGCCCTCCTCGCCTCGCTCTCCAGTCCAACCCTTCCTTCCAACTCTCCTCCTCCTCCAAGCCGGCACCTGCTCCTCCGAGCCGCTCCTCGCTCGACTCACTCGCCTCCCCACCACCCCGGTTCTTTCGCTCGGCGCTCGATTGGTTCGTTTCTCTCTCCATCGCAGGGTCAGGAGCTGCGCAGGCGCGGAGCAAGTGTGGGGGCGGGGGGGAGAAATAAAAGAGCAGAGTCGGGAGACGGAGGAGGCGTGTCTCCAAAAAAGCAAAGTCCGACCCGGAAGCGCGCGCGCATGCGTGCTTGGTCAGGCGTACTCGGAGCGGGTTCGTGGGTCGCCGGCTGCTGCGGGGAAAGGCGGGGAGTGGGGGGCGGCTGTGCTGCGGGGGCACGCACGCACGCAGGCGCGCACCCGTCTCTGGATCCGCCATGGCAGGATCCGCGCAGGGGCCGCTCGGGAGGTTGCGGCACCTGTGCGGCCGCTACCAGGACTACGTGAAGCGACACCCGGCGGCCACAGCTCAGCTGGAGAGCACCGTGCGCGGCCTCTCTTACCTGTTGCCAGGTAGGCGGGGGGGGCGAGCCGGGGAGACCGAAGCCGGGGGGGGGGGGCGTTGAGGAATCCCAGCTCCCTTTCTCCAACGCAGAGTCGCCGCGGGGAAAGGTTTGCCATTTACCTCCCCACCCCCCGGCAGAAGATGGTGTGGGCGCGGCTTCAGAGCTGCGCGGCCGGCAGAATTCCCTGGAAGGAAGCCCTTCACGCCCACTCCCTTTCCCCGCTTCTGTGTCCTGCCTTTTATGTTGCAAACTTGAGGGCAGGAGTTGTCTTGCATGTTATTTATCTCTTTTGGCCAAAGAGTACAGTGAAAGTGCTTTAAATCAATAACTGATCAGCCAGTGGCTTATCACCACATCTTGGGAAAGTAAATTTCATTAGTTAATAGTGTATCGTGTGGAAAAACTACTCTCCTTTGCCCTGAATTTACTACCAATCAGTTTCACTGCCTGGCCTCTACCTCCTTGCATTATGAGATGGGGTGGGGAAGTATCTCCTCTCTGTGTACTATTATCATTTGATAAGCTTTAGTTGCCTTTTTTCTAGACTAAAAACTTCAAATACTTTGACTTATACTTGAAGGGAAGGTATTCCAACACTTTAATATTTTTGGTTGCCCCTCTGCCATGCCCTTCTTAAGTCTGGATACAAAGAACAGTGTTCCTGAAGTGAAAGCACTATTTGTTTGTATAAAGTCGTTATAATACATTAACATTTTCTGTTAAACCTATTAATCCCAAACAAAACAAAAAAAATCTTAATTTTTCACTTATGTTGACATAGCAGCAAAATCCCAAGGTACCTTTGTTAGGTAGACATAGGCAGCTCAGATCCCATATTGCCTCAATGTCTATCACTTTATAACTATTTGCGCTGCATTTCCTTTGCCATTTTGTTTTCTGTTGTGGACAAATGATTTTGGAGTTTTTCATGGTCTGTTTGACTTTTCACCACACTTGAATAATTTGCTATCATCTGCAAACTTGGCTGCCTCATTGGATAATATATAAATAAGTTAAAGTTCCCAATACTTATCCCAGTTCAGATGCTTGGAGAGCCTCTCTGTTGTGACAACTGTTGTTCCTACCATCTGCTTCCTATTCTTGCACCATTTCCCACTCCACAAGTGGACCTGTCCTCTGGTTCCATACTTCCATATTTTATCAGTTAGGGTGGTGATGGAACCAAATGATAACCATCACCTGACTATAAGTTGCAGTATACCTGGTCAAGAGAACATCTGAAACAAAAATAAAATAATTTGCTCATTGTTCATCAGAAAAAAACAATATTTTTAACCTAATTATGACTATTTTGTTTAAACCATAATTTACAGTGGCCCCAGTGTCTGTCAAATATAAAGGAAAATCTGGGATTACATTCCTACAATGCTATGGCAAAAAGACTCAAATTGGAGAATTGTCATCTGTCATTTACCTATAGGACGTGTCTCCTCTTGTTGATGAAACTGCAGTGCAGCTCTGTATTGGTTAAGAAGATGCAGAGTAGATGTAGGCTTCTGTGGGAAATTTTAACCTCCAGGCTGATTGAGCAACAGGGTAGCATATTTGTGTAAGAATTGCATCAAAGCCTTTCCCTCAGAAGACCTGTTTGGACTGTTTTCAAAAGAGTGTGGAATATTGGCTCATGTCTTCCTTATGCTTATTTTCCAGGTCGGTTTTCTGACTCTCATGAACTGTCTGAGCTGGGTAAGTAGAGCTGGAGATTGGCTGTGGGGTCCCAGACCTATGCTATGTTTTGCAAATAATGTCATGCTTTGTTGGGAGAAGATGACCTGAAGGAGGCCTTGTCTTAAGGAGAAAGATTTAATGCATAGCCAAGATTTCCCAGTGGTTGCTGAAAGTTTTGGTGCAGAGTAAATGAGCTTGGACTGGGGAAAAACAAACAAACTTTTTCTTATGAAAGCCTATTGACCCAAAGGGAAATGATAATAATGTGGGCAGGGAGGCACACACACAGTTATGAGGCAGAGGGTGTTCACTGTAGCGACCCCAGGGTTTAAAATTCATTGCTCCATTAGACTGCCACACTATAGACCTTTCAGAATGATCTGAAGGCTCACTTTTTTCACTTGAGGGTTTTAAAAATTATCATACCGTTCTTGCTACTGGTTTTGATGACATTTTAGTAATTCTCGGTGGACATTTATTAGTTACGGTACTAGTTTCCCAGTAATTCATCCTTATTTTATTGTAATTTTGTGTTTTAATGTAAGCCATCTTGAAAGAGTTAGTTAATAGTTTTTCTAGACTGCTCTTCATCCAGAAGGATTTCAGGACAGTGTACAATATAGTAGAACCTCTAAACTCAAAAAGAGGAGGTGGTCCTTTAAGTATTTTGGTCTTAAGTCATCTAGGGCCTTACAGGCTAACATTACAAATTGGGTGTGGTACCAGAGGCGGCCAGCATAGTTCCTGAAGGCTAGATATAATCTCACCTTGCTGTAATGTTCAATAATCCAGTGGTGGCATTCTGCACACGCTGCAATTTTCAGGCCATTTTCAATGGGATCCCCAAGTAGAGTGCATTACAACAATTTGTTCTTGAGTTCACTGTGCCCAAGCTATCCTAATCCAGGAAGGGGGACACTTGGTGACTCATCCAGAACTCTGGGGCTCAAGCAGTTGGAACAAGGAGTACTCACAAACTACCAATCATCTCTGTGAACTTCATCTAGAAGAGGTTTTCTCTGCAACTTCCAGACACAATAACTGCCTACCAACAGTGCTTTCATCTTGTTGGGTTTCAGTTCACTCTCAAGTCAGTGTATAAATACATTAAATAAATAAATGGTAATGGTGAATGTTTTCTGATGCCCTAGGCAACTGCCAGCAAATGGCTAGTTTCACTCCATTAAATTGATGTTCAGATCCTGTATGTCTAAGCCATTTATATCTAATTAAAAACAAGCAAATTACTGTCTGTTTTGTATCTGATTTGCTTCTGCTCATTCTTTCTTGCAACAGCCATCCTACTTCAATAAGGCCAGAATATTTGCCAGGTGCTAGCAGCCTAGCTCAGGTCAAAGGTATTATGAAGACTATAAGCAAACATCCATTCTGAAATAGCATTTATGGTGATAAAGATATACCATCTGATAGCATCATGCCAAGGGCAAGAATGAATGGACCTGTTTACCACACACACTCATTGCACCAGATTATGGAAGAGAGCCAAGGCTACCTATGTGCAACTGAGAAAGTTGCATAATTGTGAAGACCTGCCCAGAGATGGCAATGCTCACTTTACCTTCAGGATGCCTCTCCTTCAAAAAAAAGGTTGTTTGATTAAATCAGTGTCCTCTTCTAATCAGTGGCCTTTTTCTTTTCCTGGTTATAAGCAGTAATTCTTCCTGTGCCTTTTCTACCTTTTCCTTTCTCAGTTTATTCTGCCTCCAATTTGCTGGTGCTGTTGAATGACTGGATCCTTCGGAAAGAGCTGCAGCCCCCTCTTTCTGCGGTAAGAATCTTTTCTATGCAAGAGAAGAGGCAGGTGGGGTACAATCCCTGTCTCCCATGCCAAGGACTAGAATGTTGCGCCTGGATTTTATCCTGTTGGCAATAGATTCTGAAGTTGCTGCTATCTGGTTGAATCTTGGGCATCTGCCAGCCCTTGTCTGCTTGCGCCACAACATTCTGGAAGGTTGATGAAAGTTACAGTGGCCTCCAGGAATACTGCTGGCTTATACTGTGAGTGACACCAGTTTCTTGAGCCATTCAAAATCCAACTCTTTCTTTACCTGGTGTGCACCACATGAACTCTGGCCTCTATGTAATTCCCTTTGAGGATTGGGGTGGGGGTGCGGGTGCGGGTGAAGGAGCCCAATTGATCTTTCACTGAAATCAATATATTCTTTAGGATCTTCTTCCATTTCAGTTGTGGTGGTAGAACAGAAAGCATCAGGCCCTGCTGAGTTTAAAGGAGAGTTTGAGGACATGGGGTAGCATTGAAGGTTTGGAGACAAAGGGAGCAGGTTGCTCAGTCATCAGGGGACCGACAAAATAAATGATGATGATAATTAATAATTTTATTATTTATACCCCTGTGATTATAAGAATTTGTGTAGCTCAGTTGTGCAGTCCTGAGCATTTTGACTCACCAAGCAGTCCCGCTCACTATTGTGGGATGGAATTTTTTTTCCAGTCCTTCATTTTTCTGTGGAAAGCTTTCTATTTTCATAAACTCATTATTAATGATTAAATGGATGCCAATTACAAATATAGTATAAGGCAAACTTGGCAGTTTCAATGTGTTTTGTTTACTAAGCACAAGTAGAATAAACACGTTAAATTAGATCGCTCTCTAGGGCATGAGAAAATTTTCCAGTGCCAACTATTTTTTATGCAAATTACATTAATTTGTATATGTTTTTCCCATCTTGAAATTTTTTGAAAAATCCACATCACGGGTTCTGCTGTGTTCAAGAGAGCTTACTCCCTAGTCTTCTTTAAGATTGCAGGCTCTTACTGTTCTGCTTCTTATGGTCATGAGAAATATGTTGCTGATTAAAGATCCAGCTAATCCAGCCTTTGCCAAGCTGAGGCTCTCCAGATGTTTTGGACCAGATGTTTTGCACCAGCCCTAGTCAGCACATGACATGCCCCAGGTTGGTGAAGGCTGATTTGATCCAATGTTGTAAAACAGTGACTTCCCAGCAGAGATCTGTAAGCAGGGAATGAGAAAGGTAGCCATCCTCTGTTACTTACCCCCACCATGTGTCCCAAGAGACTTTTTGCTAACTTATTTGTCAGGAAAGCTTGAGTTCGGCTAACCTCTCTACCTGCAGGCAAACACAACTGTGGCACACAGATCTTTGTTGTTGTGTGATTGATGAGCCTGTGCGACGGTATTTAAAGCTGGTAGGGCCACTGGAATCCAGCTGGTTCCCTTACTTCCCTTTGTATGAGGGACTCTTGATCCATTCCTCCTCTCAGCCCCCGCAGAGTCACCTTGCTACAGCTTTGGCTATGCCTTGAAGCTGGTCGCATCATGTTGTCTCTCACTTGCCTCTTGCTTTGCAGGCACTTCCCCAGCAGAAACTGTTGACATGGCTGAGTGTCATCGAATGCGTGGAGGTCTTTGCCGAGATGGGGGCTGCCAAGGTGTGGGGTGAGACTGGCCGGTGGGCCATCATTGTCCTCATCCAGCTGGCCAAGTGAGTGTTCAATGGAGAGGAACTATTGCACCTTGTGAATCCCAAGGATGAAAATGTGAATCCTTTGGTGGGAGGCGGGGGAAAGAGACCCTTTTTGGAACCTTGATTGTTAGGGTTAATGTGCCACAATAAAGTGGTACCTCTGGTTACGAACGCTTCAGGTTACGAGCTCCGCTAACCCAGAAGTAGCTGCTCCTGGTTGTGAACTTTGCCCCAGAATGTAAACAGAAATCATGCACCTTTGGCACATGGGCAGCGGGGAGGCCCCATTAGCGAAAGCGCGCCTCAGGATAAGAATGGACCTCTGGAACGAATTAGGTTCGTAACCAGAGGTACCACTGTACTCTAGGTTGGGCACTTCCTGCATGACACTGAGAGCACTGTTCTAGTTTTACAATGTTCCCTAGTTGCAGTGTTCCATCATGGGACTGGATTGGGTCATTGTACTCAGATAGCACCTTGTTCCAACTGGGCCTGCCCAAGGAGCTGTATGCCTTTGGGATTCCTTCAGTTACAGTTCCCCAGCTGCATCCCTCACTTGATTGCTGTCTTAACTCTTCCTTCTCCTCCAGTGATTGTAGCTGGAACTTCTGGTAACAGCAGCAACCTGACGGGAACCTCACTGTACACATATCACTGAACAGGGTTGCAAATGCAAGGTTGCATGAATGGTCCTGTGATGGCAAATCGGAGAGCTGTATCTTTCTACCGCCTTGGCAGTGAAGCGTCTAGTGTGCGCCTGGCATTTATAGCCCTTGATTTGCTTTAACCCACAGGGCCATCTTGCGCCTCCTGCTCTTGCTGTGGTACAAAACTGGCATCCAGACATCTCCTCCTATTGTGCCTCTAGACAGAAGGCAGTCATTGCAGCAGAAAGGTGAGTCAGGTGCATGGTAGATTGCAACCACTTTGGCTTTAGTCAGGAAGGAAGTTCCAAATGCCGGCCAACTGATTGACTAGGTTTGAGAAAAGGAAGGCTTTGTGTAACCTGAGCAGCAGAAAATCTTTGTCATTTCACCACATGTTCATCTCGGTTTTTGCAAACTCTTTCGCAGACTGTTGAACTCCCTATGGCCCTTTAGCTGTTGCTGGACTCACATCAGCCCCAGCCAGCATAGCCCATTGGTCAGGGATGATGAGAGATTATAGCCCAAAAACATCTAGAGGGCATCTCATTGGCTAGCCCTGTTTTTAGGCTTTAGCTTGTGGCATGATGTGCCTGGGACTTGCAGTCTTCCTCCCTGTTAGAAAATTTGAAGAGCATTTTCTGGTGCCCTGTCCAGGCTTTTCTTTAGTGTCAGCAGTCTGCAGAGGGTCACATTTCTCCTCAGACTTAATGTATCCTCAAGCCTGTGAGTCTGCTGTTCTGTTTCAATGAATGTGCTAACCTGAACAGATCATGAACTGGAGTGGAGGAGGGCTTTCCCCCTGCCCCTTACTGTGGTCTTATTTACCTGTCTCCTGACAGATATGGAGGTAAACTCAATAGGGAAGGAGCGGATATATGTGGGGAAGCGCTGTAGCCGTGTTGTGAGATCTCTCGATAGCAGTGAGTATCTTTCTCGTTTGTCTCCCATGTTACACCTACGGTAGAACTAGGTTTCTGCATGTGTTGCCAGGTCGCAAATGTAAAGTGTGCACATGTATACATGTACTCAGACACACAAGGGCATCTCCATAAACGGCAGCAGTTTTCGACATACCAGTACAAAAAGGGTTTAGATAGTTTAAATTATTTTATTTTATTTTAAACTGTATTGTTTTAACAGATTGATAGCTGGCTGCCCTGGGGTCTTTGGGAGGAAGGTTAGGATAGAAATTAAATAAGTTGTTGCACAAGTACAGAGAATGCAGACATTCTGCTGATGGCTGAAGGCAGCCCTGTTTAGGGAAGCTTTTAATGTTTAACAGACCATTGTATTTTAATATTTTGTTGGAAGCTGCCCAGAGTGGCTGGGGAAACCCAGCCAGATGGGCAGGGTATAAATAATAAATTGTTGTTGTTGTTGTTGTTGTTACTCATCCAAAGTATGATACCCATGAAAAGCTGAGTCTTTTTCTTTCTTCCTTTTTAATTTTAGCCCCATCCCTGCACTCCAGACATTGGGGAGCACCTCAGCAAAGGGAGGAGAAGCAGAACCGAAGAGCAATGGAGACAGACCAGCTGCCAACCCCTTTGAGCGCCCAGGAAACAGTTGCTGAGTCCATCTACATTACCCGCCCGTTGCTCCACTGTATCCTCCCTGCAGTGTATCCTGTGCGCCACCAGAGAGAGCTGCAGCCCCAGTGTGGAGCATCATGGCCCTTAATGCTGAGCGGGTCTTGACTCCTGGGCAAACTCTTGGAGGCTTTGCTTCAGTCAGTGGGCCTGAAGATCTGCCCCAATTAACGTCCCCTGTTATTCTGAACCTGCTTTAATTTTTGCTGCTGTAGCCCCCATGGGCTCATGAGACGGCTGGGAAGTCTTTCTGCTTCTATAGTTTTTTGCCTGTTGTCTGTTCAGTTCCTTAACTCTTGCACATAGTGGTGAGCGTAGGCTTATGGGGACAGAGATCGTGGAGACCCTGGCTCCTTTCAGCAGTCTTGGATATCTCAAGGTCAGTTGGGATAAAAGCATTTCATCATCCTGGATCCATTTTCTTTCACCTTGAATTTTTTGTAAAATGTTGATTACCTGGTTGTTTTTACTCCACTAGTGGTGTGCCTCTCTGCAGCTTCAGGGGGAGAAGCAGCCCCGCTGTGAGGAGCTGGCAGGAAAAGGAGGGCTTTATCTTTCATGGCAGAGGCTGCCGGGTTGTCCTCCTGTCCCGTTTGTTTGTTTGTTTAATTTTATTTATACCCCACCCTCCCCGGCCAAGACCAGGCTCAGGGCGGCTAACATCAAGTATAAAAACAATCGATTAAAATACAACTTAAAATGCAGCCTCATTTCAGTGGAAGCCCAGATCAAAAACTGTTTGTGGGAAGAAAACGTCAAATCTTCACCAAGGTCAACTATCCAGACTGGTCCTACGTGGGCCAGAAAAAAGCAAAAAGCCAGGGAAGTCCCCAATTAGGGGTTCCATCACAGAAGGAAAAGGAAAGAGGGGGAGGGGATCAGGCTGATTCCAAGCCAAAGGCCAGGTGGAACAACTCTGTCTTACAGGCCCTGCTCTCTGAGAGATGGTACCAGGCTTCCTTTGAACCAGGGTGCACCTCTGGAACTCATTTTCAACAGCAGGACTCAACTTTGGAACATAAAAGTGGGAAGGGGATAGTGAGAAACAGAGGGAGGGAGTGTGTGTTTGTCAAATTCCTCACCACTTAGATTAGGAGGAATATCGTTCAGGTCAACAAGTACTATTCTCAGGCAGGCTTGACGCCTAGTTGCGCTCCTGTTTTTTAAAAAATGATTCAGAGAATCATTTTAAAAAATGATTGGGAGAATAGCTTGGCACTCCACACACACATATCCAGTGCCTTGTGATTTCTCTGCTTTCCCTTCTGCAGTTTGAGTTTACTGAGTGACATGAAAGATCTCAACAAGCGCGAGCGTGTGGAGCTGAGGCGTCGGACTCTCCTGCTGCTGTACTACCTGCTGAGATCTCCTTTCTATGATAGATACTCTGAGTAAGACTGCCTGGCTGCCTTCTTTTCAACCGTATTAAAATCCCCACCCCCATAAGGAGACCTCTGGATTTCTAAAAGAGAAACCCGTGGCTTGTGAGCATTCAGCACCCAAACGGGTTTTGTCTGTAAGCTCCATTCCAAGAGTCCCATTCCCATTGGGAAGGAAGCCATTCTCATGGGCTCATCTGAGGTGTTTTTTCTCTTTCTCTCTCTCTCTGTGTTCCTTCAGGGGCAGGATCCTCTTTCTGCTGCGCCTGCTGGCAGATTACGTCCCTGGAGTTGGCTTAGTCACTCGTAAGTAGCTGACTGCTGTGATTGGTCTTTTTAAAGGAAGCTGATAAAGGTTAAGGAGACCGTAGGGAGAATCCTCCATTGGTTTTGGGATAACCAGTTCAAGGGGCTTTCAACTCGGCACGTGCTTAGATGAGGGGTATTCAAGGATAGCAGCAGGGCTAGAAGATCTCCAAATTTTAAAAGTTGGCACTAGGATCTGTGAAGCTGAAATGTCTCTTCAAAGACTTTAGGTGTGGCTACTAAAAATGCTTTGCTGCTGTTGTCTACTATTGTCACATACGTATCTCCACAGCTTAAAAAGATGCTGGTGCACATTTGAATAAAATGTATATTCTCTTTTAGTAGGATACATCAATCCTCCATATACTTGGTGATTGTTTCCTTCACTGTTTATATCTAGCTTGGGCGCTAATATTTCATTAAAATCTCCTCCTATTATTAGTACAGTGTTGGTGGGGGTGCAGTCAGGGAACCATCAGAGCAGCATGTAGCGGGAGGAAGACAAGATTGTTCCTTCAGTGTAAGCAATTCTGCTTGCCTGACCAAAGCATCTCAGTGCTACATTGAATGCTGCTCACTGTTTTGATACTTGCTTTTAAAAAATGTACATGTTTTGATGCAGGCATGGCTTACAAATTGTCTGAATAAATAGCAACTTTTAGGAGTTGACAGTGGGGATTCTGTGCAGAATCTAGACTGTTGAGCAACACAGGAATAGCAGTTATTATTGGTCAGTTTTCCTTCTCCAAACATCTTTTCTGTCAAGACAAAGGGGGTCTCTGCACAGGACCCCTTCCTGAGATATATTTCATATCAGTCCTTCCTTTAGATATATGAATATTGGAACTCTTTTCTTGCCCTATGAATAGCCCTCCACATCCTTTATTTCATATGCCCCATCTGTGATTTCAGAACTTAGGATGTTGGCTGGGAAGGGGCAGTTGTGGAAGCAAATGTTGGCAAGTTAATTTCTCACATGTTGCTTTAAGGTCTTCCAGTTCATTTTCACATTTTTCTCCCTTCTTCATTTCAGGGCCACTGATGGACTACTTGCCAGCCTGGCAGAAAATTTATTTCTACAACTGGGGTTGATTTGGCCTCAGCTCAGGTTATTGCAGCCAGAGGGCGCTCCGGCTAAAAGCAGAAGCTTGTGGTGGTAGGATGACTTTATACAGCGGGAGGCAACCTTGAGACTTTAAAGAACAGCAGCAGCAGCAACAACACAACATGTGTCTTTCTATGGCTTATGCTAATGATTACTGAGAGAAGAGTAAGGGCTCTTCTGACATCTTTTTTTTTTAATGTATCTCCCTGTGAACTAAGAATGCTACAAAGAGTAGGTCTTAAAGTTCCTATGCTACTCCTCTCTCCATTCTGAATTATGGTTTTGAATCTCATGGGGGCTGTGGAGGGGGACCCTTTTTTTTGGTATGTATTTTCTATGGCTATGAATGAATAAAGCCGGGAGTCGGCAGTGCTTTTGGGCTAATTTGGTCTGTTCTCTTGAATATTGGGGACGTGCACCGCAAGAGGAGTAAGGTCTCTTGCTTTCTGGCCAGCTGGGATGGAAGGCAGAGAGTTTTGCAGACGCTGCCAGTGCTTTGTTTCTGAGGTGAGACAAAGATTAGCATTCAAACCAGCCTGGAAATGTTTCCCCTTGTGCACATGCACACATGCACACTATTCTCAGATGCAAAGGGTGGGATTGGATCATTGGAATTAACCCTGTGAGGATATGTGCTCCAAACCATTTTCTTCATGTTATTATCTGGCACATAACCCAAAGTCATCACTGAAAAGCTGCTTCCAGACTCACAATAAGCTATTGCTGCTCTTTGCACAAACCCATTTCTGGCTATACAGCCAGGCTTATTCCCCACCCCACCCCGTCTTTCACAGTGAAAACATATGCAGTTTGGTGCTGTGGTTGGCAGGGAACTGAGCACCCCTTGGGCCAGCTCAGGCAGCAAGCCAAGAATGCTCTTGGGTATGCTTTTTTCCTTGGCTTATTTCCAGTGGTCCATATGCTGCTCGGCTGGAGCCTGGTCTGCCAGGGGCTGTGGCTGCTGGTCTTCTCTGCCAGCCTGCTTAATTTCCTGCCCTGCCTTTGAGGATATGCAGCTCCACAGCTTGCAGACTGTCTGGATAACAGCTAGTGTGTGCTGCAGGGCTTCGCTGAACAAACTGCCAGTTGCAGAGGTGCTGGCAAGCAGGGCCAAAGGCCTCTGCAAATTGGTTGGTGTCTGCAGAACTGAGTTCCCAGCAAATGAAACATAAAGGCCTGAGCCGATGCCTGGGTCAAATAAATCAGAATGGTTGCCTTATGCAAGGCGTCCAAGAAGCAAGTAATCGAGTGCTTCATCAACTCTCTCCACCCATAAAGCAGCAGATGGAGCGCAAAGTGCTTGTGCTGCCTACCTCCTTGGTTACTTACTGGCACGGTCTGTTTTTCCTTCTTGCTAAGGCTGCATTTACTGATAGGCCACTTCCCAGCATCTTCCGTCTGTTTCTGCAGTGGTAGGCTGAATACTTGGAAGGGCTTGCCATGAATCAGGGCCCACCAGGTTCAGAAGGCAGTATGGAGAGTGCTCAGCTTGTAGATTTCTTTTTCCAAAGCTAGCAATAGCCTCCTTGCAACAGACAGGTGGGGGAAACTGCCCTCCATTTTCTGCTGTGTAGTACAATTTTCCTGCAAAACGAAAACCAAACCCATAGGAAATAAATGTTCTCAATCCCAGGGAAAGGACCTCCTATGTACTAGAACAATTTTTTTAGTAGAGGAGGACTATCAGTCATTTCAGCAAGCTTGCTGATAAAGGAAAATCTGTCCTGTTTTCAGATGGCACACAAACTTCTTAAGTTTGTTGGAAGTTGGGGTCTCGTCCCCATCTTCCTACCTTCTCCCTGTAATTGGTAGGTGCCGTCACCTCCTTATGGAGGGTCCTTGGAGGGATTTATGGGTGAAACGATAGACTACTGCAGTCACTACTGGCAAGAGCCCTTTGTTTAATTTCCCCTTCTTTCCTACTCCACAGTTTTGTAGCGGCGACCAGTAGCTAGACTGATTGGAAGCCCATTTTCACTAGTTCACCAGTCTTCAAAATAAAGCATAAATAAAAACTGAAGTGAGAGAGATGGAGAATTTGAATTTAAAGAAAGGGTAGGTGAGAGAGGAAAGTTATTACCGGGTTTCTAGTCTCCATCTGATGAAGATTGGCCCTATAAGTTGAACCACATGGTTCAGGGCAGTTTAAAACAGGACCAAACATACACCGTATGCCTGTTTTGACACCTTAATGCAAGCAACTGACAGATTCCCCCTTCTCTGTGAAAGCTGGAAAGAGTGGGATTATCCTATTATGTCCCTGGAGGCTTCATCCACCAACTTCTCTGATTCTCAAGAGAATAAATTTGTCTCCTGCGAGCCACAAGCTCAGTGTACCAAGGACATAATGTTCAGCAGGCAGATAATCGCACATCTATTATACAGAACAGCACCTTTGATAGCCCCCTCATCTGTGCTAGTATTTCTACCAGTTGTTTATTAATACACTTTGGAGTTTGGTCTTTGTTAGGTAAAAAAAATGGTGGGAGGGTGGAGTGTAGTATGCCTCAGTGTCCTCGCTCTACTGTCGAACCCACACAGCTGCCTAACTCACTTGTTCAGGCATAGGCAAACTCGGCCCTCCAGATGTTTTGAGACTACAATTCCCATCACCCCTGACCGCTGGTCCTGTTAGCTAGGGGTGATGGTGTAGCCTTATGAGGCTGCACCAAGAAATGTAGCCTTATGAGGCTTTGCCCTCGGGTGGGAAAAATATTGCGCCTGGGAAAGGGAAATGGGAGTCAACAGACACTCAAGGAATAGTTTCGGAGAAAAGGCTTTTTATTTCTACCATCCATGAACTGGTAGAAGGAGCAAGTGTGATAAGTCACAAAAAGCATGCACAAAGTTCACAGTCATGTGCACAAGCATATATACCCCTTTCCAGTTCCCTCCTCCTTTCTCCTCCCTCAGGAGTCCTGCCCCATGTTGAGTTTCCTGAGCATGTACAGAAAGCTGTCTTGGGACTATTGTGGACTCTTGGCACCCTTCTCCGGAAAGGGGTTTCAGAGTGTTCAGATATGTTTCAATCTCTTGTTCTGACATGGTTCCCGGACAGAAAGCAAGTTGCAATGTGGTTCTTTAGCAAGGCCAGAAGGCATGAGAAAGGCCTGAGAAACAATGGACTGTTCTCTACCTTTGTTACAGCAGAGCGGAATGTTTCTGATGCTTAGCTGCTGAGAAAATGATTTTGAAAAGTTTTGAGAAGCTTTGAGCCTGCTTTGGTGGGGGGTGACTTCGGGCCTAGGTGAGGTCACCTGTTCTCACCTTCCTTCAATGGGAGTTGTAGTCCCAAAACATCTGGAGGGCCGAGTTTGCCTATGCGTGCACTAGTTACTTTGATGCTGTGTTACTGAAGCCTGGCTGGCGCATAAGCTGGGGCTCTTCTCTTGTTCCTAGAGAATGTGACTTCATGGGAAGAAAGCGGGCATAAGATCAACTATGCCTGATGAGAAAGCACATCATGTGGGATGAAGCTTGTTTCTCTGAAATGGGGCTCAGCTAGAAGTGTTGTAGAAGCATGCAACTTTGCCTGAGAGGACACTTTTTCCGAAGGGGCTGCACAAGTTTCATTCTTAGGCTGGCCCCCATTGGGCAGGCCCATTACCTAGGAGTCAGAATGCTGTGTGTTCTTTACCCTTTGTGATGGCATTGAAGGCACTGGGAGCTGTCTTAGGTTCCATTGCTGAAAGCCAATAAGAGTAGGAACCCATTGTTGGATTTGACTGGCCGGATGGGATTCCTGCTTCTGTTGCTTCTCCTCACAGAGAGAGGGCTGTCCATGCCAAGTCTTCAAAGGTAAATCACTGCTTGGTGGTCCTGCACTCTCCATTAGGGGAAAATAAATAAATGTGTACAATGAATTGTATACCTGACTCTTGCCACCCAGATATGGCATGGAATGAGGGTGAAGAAAAGTGGGTCATTTGAAATGAAAGCCACTTGCCTGCCTTTCTTTAGGAATCAGGTACACTTTATTAAGGAATCATGGCAGCAGGTTAAATCAGAGATAGCCATTAAGTCTCACTGCATGACCCCTTCTCAAAGGAAACTCGTGCCAAATATAAAACAACAGCTAGCAGTAGGATTATATTCCAAAGGCTCAACATCTGGGTAGATCAACCCATCTCACATGCCCTAATTCCTATTGAAATTGTCAGCAGGCACATTCTAGGGATATTTTGCTCCTGCTGGCACTAAGAAAAGAAAACCGCAATATGTGGTTTATGTTCATTCTTCTTCAGGGTTTGTTGGGGGACTAAACAAAGGAAGGGAGGCCTCAAAGAGTATCATTAGACAGAATTTTACCAAGGTTAAAAGTCGTAACCACCAAACAGCACTGGGCTGCATCAGAGCATGATTTTCATGTTGCATTTTAGTGTAATGGCCATCACTGTTTTGGTATAGTGAACCACTTCAAAGTTGTATCAAGTCAAATTTCTTTGGAGAATTTAGATTTTCATGCAAACCCCTTGATTATTATAAATGCTTGAAATCACTGCATTGCTTGGTGTCCTGAAGAAAGATGCAGAAGGGGGTGGGGGGGCAGGGAAAATGGGGCCACGGGCGGTACAAAAATAAGATCTTCAATAAATACTGCACAGTTATCCACCATCTTTTGGGTCTGTACATGCTTTTCAAACAAGACATTATAAATGGAAAGTGATGTAATAAACAGATAAAATTAATTAGTTAATAAGGTTTTAAATAGTTGCATTTTCAAAATGTGATTTGATTACATCTATAATTCCTTGATCAAGAGGATATGTTATGGTTTGGAGGAAAGTTTTTTAACTACGGAGGATTTATTATAGGCACTTGCACTTGTTTTAATTGCACATTTGGGCTAGTGCTCTGTGCTTTGTTTTATAAATTATTATTTGGCTGGGAAGGTGTTTTGAAATAACCACGTGGGGAACTCCCTCCGCACTAATAGTCCATAAGATCAGGGCTTTAGGCAGCAACCATCGCAGTTCCTGACCTTGTCCTCTTCTGCAGCAGGCTCAGTCCGTCTGTCCCAGAGGAATTCTCTGCACCCCTGGAGCTCCAGCAGCAGCACTTTGGCCTGGTGGATGGCATGTATTCCTTCCAGTTCCTACTACGCAACAGCATAGGGCAAGGAGAGCTAATGTGTTGCCCTCCAGATGTTGATGGACTACTGTTCCCACCATCCCTGACCCTTGCCTATGCTCGCTGGGGCTGATGGGAGTTGTAGTCCTTACCTCTGGGCAAAGGGATCGTCAATATATAGGCACAAGCTCAAAAAAAAAGTCCCTTCCAGGTTATTAGAAGAGAAACCTTTCCCAATTTTTGGTCCCCAGATGTCATTGGACTACAGCCCAGTTATTCCTGGCCAGCAAAAGTAATCATAGGTGATTGGTGGAAGTCGTAATCCAACATCTTGCGGATCTGTTGGTAGGGAAAGCTGCAGCAGAGGCATTTCTGACCACTGCAAGATGGTCTGAGCATTTCAAACCTATTATGGCGTCACTGTTCCGGCTACCAAGTTTCTGAACTTAATTCAAAGCCTTATGCAGCTCAAGGACTGCTTCTCCCCAACATGAACCAACCTGGATCATGCATGTAGTTTGGGGTTGTCCTCTGTGTGCCCTCTCCAAGGAAAGTGGGGTGGGTGGTAACACAAGAATACAGTGGTGCCCCGCAAGACAAATGCCTCGCAAGACGAAAAGCTCGCTAGACGAAAGAGTTTTCCGTTTTTTGAGTCGTTCCGCAAGACGAATTTCCCTATGGGCTTGCTTCGCAAGACGAAACGTCTTGCGAGTTCTTGCGAGTTTGTTTCCTTTTTCTTAAAGCCGCTAAGCCGTTAATAGCCGCTAAGCCGTTAATAGCCGCTAAGCCGCTAATAGCCGCACTTCGCAAGACGAAAAAACCGCAAGACGAAGAGACTCGCGGAACGGATTAATTTCGTCTTGCGAGGCACCACTGTAGTCATTTTCAGTGGTGGCTCCCTGATTATGGAAAGCTCTGCCTAGTACTGCCACTGGCTACTTTTAGGAACCAGGCAAAAACATTGCCATTCAGCCAGGCCTTTAACTTGGAGATTTTTAGGTACTGTTCCCTCCTTTAATGCACGGGATACGAACCTACCTAGATCTTGTGATCATAATCTGAAGCCCTTCTTCGTGTGCCTCCTCCACGAGAAGTCCGGAGGGCGGCAACATGAGAAGGGGCCTTTTCTGCAGTGGCTCCCTATTTGTGGAATGCTCATTATACAGGGAGGCTCATTATACACCTTTAGGCACCAGGCAAAAACGTTACTCTTCAACCAGGCCTTTGGCTGATTTAACATCCTTTTAAATGTGTTTGTGGGAGGGCTTTTTATTGCTTTGTTTCTTTTTATTATGTATTTTCATCTTGTATTTTCATGCTATGAACCTCCTTGAGATCTACAGATGAAGTATGGTATACAAATTTAATAAATAAAAACAAAATTTTGAGTTGACTTTTTGTAAAAGAGAGAGCAACTAATAAGTATTATTACTGTTATTATATCATATAATAATCACCGCCCACAACAAAACCCAGCTGTATCAGATCACTTGAGTTTTCTTCCTTGACCAGCTGCACCATCTATTTTCTGGATTCAAGAGAAAGAAAGAAAAAGCACCCCTCTATCAATTTCAGCCCCTCATTTGAGTTTGTATGGAATGGAAGCAATCTGAATGTGGTTCTGTAGGGAGAGGTGGGCGGAAGTGGATGAGGCAAGAGTCTTGATAGACTTGACACAACGCCTCTGAATACCACCTCTGTTGCTTATTAAGCCAAGAAGTCTAAACTCACTAGCAAACATGACAACCATGTGCCTTAAGCACCCTAGAATGCCCTGTTGGTTCAAATAAGTCAATCCTTAGAGAACCGGTGAGCAACCTGGTACCCTTGAAATGTTGCCAGACCACAGCACCTATCATCCCTGACCACTGGCCATGCTGGCTGGGGCTTATGGGAGCTGGAGTCTAACAACACTGGAGGAACCCCATGTGCCGCTCTTATCATTGCATCACTGCAAGCATTTTGGTGTGCCAATTGAGCCACCCTCCCTCTCCTCAGCTTGCATGAGGTTCTCACGATCCAATTTCAGGGTGCATGTGGGGGAGGAGAGGGGAAAGCCCTATTGTGCAGGCAGAAGTCTTTGTACAGAGCTTCTGGCAGCGCTCAGTAGGTGAATCCCTCCTCCAGTTTCCCCAACCCTGCCTTCTAGTTAACTGCCTCGAGGATCCCATAATATGCCCCTCTTAGGGCCACGTGAGCCTTCGCTTCCACATCCTCCTATGTGATTTTTTCTCTTCCTGCCCTGCCATTGCCACACTTCTCTTACTAGCTCCTGTCTTCACAGATTATGGCATTAAACCAAAGATGCCCAACTTCCGGAGACGGATACAGCGGAAGGAATCGGAAAAGCTGCAAAAAGCACACAAAAGCAAGCGGGATGAGCCAAATTTTGAGGAGTATTATTACGACGACCTCCTTTGAGTCTCTTAGGGAAATGCAAATAGAGGTGCCATCTCTGAAGTGTACTTGCACCAACTAATTGATCTGTCACAGGCAGCAAAAGCCCCTCAAACCCAAATCACCTAGTAATGTAAGAAGAGAGATCTTCCCCTTCCTTTGCTCTTCCACACTTGCATGCCTCTTCCCCATCCTCACAGTTCTGTCTGCTCTGTGCATCCATCCTACAGGCATGGCACTTGGCACTCAGCAGGGCAGTTGCAAGGTCTTGGCTCACATCTCATGTTTTAACTCTTATGGGTGTTGAGCAAAGCTTGAAAACATTTGATGAGGGCCAGAGATGGGTGGGGGTGCTTTTTGCTGCAGAGGCTGGGACTGAGTTGGCCACAGCTTTCTGTTGCCGTTCTCTTCTCTCCCTCGCCACCCCTGTCATGACTCTTCTTATTGTGGGACCAATATTTCTTCCCTTCTTGCCCATTCTTCTATTCTTTGCTCCCACCGCACAATAAAATTCCAGATTCTATGGAAGCTGACTACTATGAGTTGAATTGTATAATGTAAATATATATACAGTTCCATATTTGACAAAATTGATTTCATTTAGGGCTTTTTTGCTGTATAATTAAGTGTTTTTGTTTTGAGAAAAGCAGAAGTTAAGTGCCTCAATGGCTCTCCAGATATTGGACGACAATTCCCATAATCAACGTTTATTACTGTCCCAACAGCATCTGAAGGGCAACAGGTTTCCCATCCCTATTTTAGGGTCTCTGGTAGAAATGTAGACCCAAAACCCTTTGAATGCCACTTAATAATTGGCTACTTTCCTTAACTGGCAACAACAGAGCTGCAAACATACAATCTATATTTAGCTAGAGAAGAGGCTAGTAGATTAGAAGATTTTGTGGCAGAGTCCACTGAGGTCCTGGGATTCTGACATCTCAAAGCCTTTAACCAGAATAGGGGAATGTGACACATTTCTGGTGGTTGCAGGGGGCCAACAGCTGGGTAAACTCTAGCAAGACTTCTCAATGATTGTCAATAACTAACAAATTGAGCCCCCTCCCCATTGTATCTGAAAGCAAAAAAAAGACACACGCACAACACCAAGGTTCACAAATATATGGAGACAGGACCTCAATGGAAATGGGAGGGAGTTGGCCTCCATCTGTCTTGGGAGACAATGGAGGAGTGCCATGCTCCCCACCCCGCCTGAAAGCCAAGCTATTCCGAGAAGAACGAGATCTACAAGAGACAGTTGTTTCATAATACCCAACATAGTCATTCAGCACCATTGGATTCAGTGGGACCTTTCCACACTTTTATAAGCCTATGCAAGGTACCTGTACTTTTGAAAACTGAAGATGTGTGACATTTCCCTGGAAATCTGATGTACTATAATTTGGTTTCAAAATGGGGGTTGCAGAACCTGGAATGTTGCTATGCTGCAGCTGGTGTGGCTCCCCAAGGAAGGCTAGCAGAATGTCAAATTTGGCTCTTGCAATTCCCAGGAAAACAGCAGTTTGCTTAGAGGCCTGAGTCTCCTCGGGTAACAAAACAACAGCAACGCAGGCTCTTTGAAACATCAACGTTTAATCATTGTTGTCATTAGAGCAGAAGCACAGAGCCCCCTGCTTTTGGGGGGGAGGGGGGAGAAGGGCAAAGGCACACCTTTCTGCAGCTCTTATTAGCCCCTAGTCACTCATGCTATTCTCCCAGCTTTGCTGCTTCTCCGTGGGACCGAGCCCTTCCTGAATCAATTTTGTGCTTATGGCTGGAGCTCCTCTCAAGCCCCTTGATGCAGATGACTCAGATGAACCCTGGCTCTCGTGTTCTGTGCAGGGTCCAGATTCCCTCCGTGAATGCAGAACCTGCAGCTGGAGAGCGGGTATGGAGGGAAGGGAGATTTAGAGCAAGGGCCGGGATGGAGGAGCTCTTTCCATCAGCAGATTCCCAGGGCATGGGCCCTCCCTGGCTGTCTACATGCCTTCAAACTGGGAGGGGCTAGGACAGGCACCAGTGTTCCTCCAGTGGTTCCCGGATTTTTTGCAGGCACAGGGTAAGAGACTTGGATGCTATGTCTTGGGAACTGGCGGGGCAAATGGCCACCACCCCCATTCTCTGCCTCCTCCTCCACTATACCCCAACCCCACCATTCCCAGCCAGGGACTGGGCTCACTACTTGCAACCATCCCCAAGCTTATTAGCTATCCCTTCTTACTAAGCAGCATCCCCATCTTACTAAACTCCCAATGTGAAGGGCTGAACACGGCAGCTAGAACTAGAGCAGGCCCCAAACAGATTCGAGCAGAACTCGTGGAGCCCTCTCTCTCGCAGTAGCACCAAGGCAGCCCATTCAAGTGGGCACTCCCGGTGCCCATGCCCACTCTCCTCCTGTACCAGCGGCAGCAACACCTGCTTCCGCTGGTGGTGCTTTATTTCAGATAAACAAACGAACGGAAAAGCATATTTCTTCTTCTGATAATAAACCCTTTTTTTTTGGTCCGCCCACCCCACCCATCCCAAACCCCCAGCCCAAGGAAAGAGGAGGTGCACTGAAAGAGGTGGGGCTCTGCGCACTGAGGAACACTGTTCCCACGCCCACTCCTCCTTCCATCTCAAAGCAGCTTGTCCATGCACAATGGGGGGAATGGCCCTTGTCTGTACAGGAGGGCGGGGGCTGCCCCGGCCCCTACTCTAGGTAGATGTCCTCTGTGGGGCACGTATATTCCACACATTCCTTGTAGAACTGATGGAAGGCTCTCCTGCAAAAAGAAAACATGAAATGGAATGTCAGTTGGGAGCTGGGATTCTTCCACAGAACAGGCAAAGCAACAAGTTAGAGCTCAACACTGAGCCTACCAAGAGGACCTTATTCGCTGCCTCTACTGCATCTGCAGAAAACGGTACCAGAAGACTCTTTCAGGTGGTTTGTAGTCTAACAGAACCACCTTTGTCATTGGGGTCTGATAAGGACTCCAATATCTCCTGCAACAATTTTGGAAAGCTTTTTGCAGATAAAATCGCTCAGATTCGGAAAGAGGTAGATTCCATCATGGGAGCAGAGCTGGGACGGGAGAGTGCCAAAGCTCTGCTTAGTCAGGTTGTATGGGATCAATTCCAATCTGTTACCTCCAATGATGTGGACAGACTGCTTGGATGAGTGAAACCTACCACCTGTCTCCTTGATCCTGGCCCATCCTGGCTCATCAAAGTGAGCCGGGCAGGGCTGGGCAATGGGCTCTGTGGGGTGGTGAATGCTTCTCTCAGTGAGAGAGTTTTCCTGGACCCCCTTAAAGAAGGTGTCATTAAATCACTCCTTTAAATCCATCTATGGACCCGGCCATTATGGCCAATTATCGCCCAGTCTCAGATCTTCCATTCCTGGGCAAGGTGATTGAGCGGGTAGTCACTGAACAATTCCAGGCACATCTGGAGGATGTGGACCATTTGGATCCCTTCCAGTTGGGATTCAGGCCCCATCACGAGATTCAAACCACCTTGGTTGCACTGGTTGATGACCTCTGGTGGGCTAGAGACAGAGGTCAAAGCTGTTTCCTGGTTCTGCTGGATCTCTCAGCAACTTTTGATACCGTTGACCATGGTATCCTTCTGAGCTGTCTAGGGGGTTGGGAGCTGGGTGAAAAGTGGCTGATCCCTGGCCACTTATGCTTCTGCTGACATCTCCAGTACTCATCTGCAACCGACACACCCCTCTCTTAGATCCAGGTAGACTGGGATCTTTGTAAATAGTTGGAATTTTCAGGATGTAGCCTAAAACTCACCCTACAGACTCTGCAAGTGGTTTGGTGGACTCCTCTGCAACAAAGACATGGCACGCAAATCTGTGGTCAGCTGGGTGCTTGGTGATGAACCCAAAATACCTGAAAGAGAAAACACAATACATGAGCTTGGGCTAAAGGTTGGGCTTCTGGTATCCTAGGCTAGGAATGAATTCTCTACCAAAATAACAAGACCTATTGGTTCTATTCTTCCTGCAGTTACAAAATATACCTCCCTGAAGAGAAAGCCGTTGGTTTTGCTTTGCGTGTGTGGGCAAAAGCAGGAAGTGGGATGAATACATTTCTTCCTGTGCAATTTGCGTACCAGACAAAGCTGGTAAACGGCAGCCGAGACAACAGAGCTCACCTGGATCTCTAAAAATAAAGCTTGATTGAGAAGCCAACCCCCCACCCCCAACAAATGATGGGCACACACCCCGCCAAATTCACAGTGGTCTTCTGGCTTCTGTCTATCTATGTTGGTACCAAATGGAGGATAAGTGTAGGTGATACAGTCTGATTAACAAGATCACAATGCTGTTATATGCCCATCCCACCTTTATCAAGCATATTGTTTAGTAGGGATTAAGAAGATTGCCACACAGGAACTTCCTATACAACAAGTTACACTTCAAAGCCCCAAATTGCCTAGGATACACTGCAGGATAGTGCAAGGAGGAAGAGCTGTGTGTCTCCTTTGCCATGAATTCATTTTGACCATCCGCAGGGACTTACTTGTTGTTCTTTGGGTGGTATCCACAGAATGAAATGTTCTTCAACTGGAAAAAGTGGCTACATTTATTCCCCTGCAGGACGGAGAGAGCAAGATGTTAGGCTTGGGTAAGAGTTAGGACCGTTGAGGAACCAGAGCCATTTATTGAAGGAAAGGGAAAGTAAAATGTGTTCGGATCCCTCACCCTTGGGAGATCCATGTCACAAATTAAAAGGACCTCATGCTGTGTTTTGGGGGAAGGATATCCCATTGTGTAACTCACAACAGTTTATCTATGCACTGCAAAAGCTTGTATGGTAGGAAGCACAGGGGAAATTCCAGTCAGGGCTGATGAGAAGGAAAATCAAGTTACGGGAGTCTTGCTATACTGGCCTCAGAGTAGGGCCCCCAGACTCCTGATCTGTCCATTTTAAATTACTTAGATCCTTAGCCCTTGTAGAACGAAAGTTAGGAAGAAAAATGTGAATAGACTATTTTGTGTGATATGAGCCTATTCCCATCTTTTAGCAATTTTAGTCAATGAGTGAAGTCGCAGCTGTGATTGACAGGTGCTATGTTACACACACATCAGAGGAGACCCAAAAACAGCTCCAAAATGACCAAGGAAGTCCTTTCTCCAAACACTTGAGAAAAGCATCAGCCTGGTTCAGTTTTAAGCCATTTTACTGTCTTCCTTGCTGTATGTGTGATTTTTTTTCTAGATGGAGAAAGAACTGCCTGATTCATTCTGAAGGATCTTCCAGGTTCTTTTAAAAGCTTTTCTCTTCCTTTGGCTTTCCCTGGTAGAAATGGGATTGTTGACCAGAAACAATAACTGAAAAATCCAGGATTTTAGTGTAGCTGTAATTGGGCAGTAGCATGTCTACCCAAAAGCAAAATTAGCAGCTAGGACAGTAAGTAATTCCTGCTCTTTCTAACTCAGAATTAATTTCATGCAAGAAAAGAGCTTTTTCCAATATTATGTGATTTTATTTTTTAAAAAATCCTGCTAATGCAAAATACATATCACAGGGGGGTACTGCAACTGAGAGAGCTATGTGGGTTACATCAACCCTGCAAAGTAGCCCTAGCTTGCTATATTCAGGCCTGTCAGGGAGGGGCTGAATAGCCCCTTGGTGCGTTGGTTTCTTCTTAGGGAAATGCAGTTGAGGGTGTCATTAAGTGGATTGTCAACTGAACTGATTGCTTTTTCAACCAAAGGGTGGGGAAAATAGGGGAATTATTGGAAGCAGCTTCTTGTTCCCAGTATGATAATCAACAGTTACTTACTGTTGGTCAAGAAAAAGAAAAGGGTGTCTGTTTGTCCTGTGCTAATAACACTGTTCTAGTTGTTAAGGAATAAAAACAATAACTAACCACAGCAAATGCTGCTAGAATACACTGCATTCAATCTTGAATTCATCCAGCCATGAGCATTTAAACCTCAGTCGCTGTATTTCTTATGCCACTTTTGGTACACACCCTCCCCTACCATCTGAAATATCGTGTCTGGTCTTGAAATGAATACAGTAATGCCAACCTAAGATCAATTGATGAAGCGTAACGTAACAGGTTAACAACTCAGGGAACAGGAGTTTTTTGCACGGTTTAGGGTTGGCACTGGAGGACAGCCGTGCCCTTGTGCCTTTAACAGCTGTGTGGCAGGCAGATATTTAACAGGTTAAACCTTTTCTAGTATGGAAACATAAATACAGAGCAAGCTTCCCCCGCTGACATTCTGCCTCTCAGACATATTATTACTGATGTGCAGCTCCTTATCTATTTTTGGGCTCTTCATCCCACTCACAAAAGATTATATAAATTTCCGTATGACACAAAGCATATGCAAATCTGTATCCTCTTTTGTGAGTGGGGCAGAGGGTCTAATCCACATACAAGTGTCCTGGGTCCAGAAAACCCTGTTGGCATCACTAGTTCCAGATCATAAGCTTCTTACTCTCTCCTAAAGGGTCTTATGCAGGAATACGAAAGCGGGGATTTCAGGTTCAGGATTATAGGAAGGCTGCAGCAGTATCAGAGTCAAGCAATATTCTTGTACCAGCTACGAAACGTCCCAGCCTTCACATTGTGTGTCATTTAACCTTCAATAAATGAAAGGTCTTGGTTCTGTTACAATCATTTCATGAGGTAGAATTGAATGGATTCTACTTTAGTGTTAGTGCACGAAACATTATATAATAATGGGACAGTTGGTTACACACATTTGAAAAATAGTAATACATTCAAACAAGTTTTGTTCAAGCAAAATAAATTGAAGCCAGCTGTGTTGATTAAACACAGCCCAAGCTCAGATAATTAATTAACACGCTATCATATATATTTCTCTCAGTCTTTCTGCTTTCAGGTCCACTGCCCTTGATTGACTCTAGTAGGGCATTTCCATTGTGAACAGAATGCACTTTCTGAATGGCTTTGCTCCTTCCTCTTGAAAGCTCCATGTGAGCTACTTATGCAGAGAGGCTTTACTGCACAGATCCACAGGACACTGGTTAAAATAGTAGCAGACGCTACTAGCAATGCTTCGTAGATTATCGGAGCAGCTTAGCAAACAGACCTTCCAGTGCATTAATATACCTACAGCCTGGGAAGCATGTACTTTTGCATCTGGACTTCAGGGCATGAATATGACTCTGCCCTGTTATCCAATCCCCAATAGACTCCTTCAGGAAAAGACAGGAGGCACCGCCAGCCAGGACATATGCAAATCGCTCTCATTTGCATGCTCTCTTTTGTTTATTGGCCAAGGGGTAGCACTGAGCTGCTGCTGGAAGATGTAATAATAATGAGGGACAGAGAGCACAGAACCCAGGAACAGTGCTGGCAGCAGAGCTACACATGTGGTCAAGCCTACCTTGCTGGGATCCTTAGAGTCATCGCCTTTCACAGCAATCTTGACTCCTCTCATGCTGATCTCCAGGACGCAGCTGGAGGGCGGGTTAAAGTGCACGGTGAGGCGGCGAGTAGTGGCAATCTGTGCCAAAACAGAAAATGTGTACCAGCTGTCACACAAACTATCTGGAGTTTCTGGTGACACTGCTCTTCTCACGGAAAATATCGCCCCCCCCCCCATTTAATATAAAACTAGGGTCCCCATTCCTCCTCCCAGGTTGGCAGTTTCAAGAAACATTGACTTCAAAGTACCTGAAACCAGAAGATGGGTGATCTGTTTGGGGAGTGGGAGGAGAGAAGGGTTGAAGATAGACATGTCCCAAGATTGCTGTATATATAGGCATACATATACATATACATACACACCCACACTCCACATTAATATATGTTAAATTCATTCTTCACATTATTTAAAAATTGCAAAGTATTAACATCAGTTGCAGAACTGCTATATGGACGGCGAATAAGGAGGGGCATCGGTGACATCACTGGCATTGGTCAATAAGCAACCTCCACAGGTATCTTTCCCACATCAAATACTAAGAGAACTGCTTTTTTTGAAGCTTAGCTGGGAAACAACAAGAAGAAGAAGAATAGGAGGAGTTTGGATTTGATATCCCGCTTTATCACTACCCGAAGGTGTCTCAAGCGGCTAACATTCTCCTTTCCCTTCCTCCCCCACAACAAACACTCTGTGAGGTGAGTGGAGCTGAGAGACTTCAAAGAAGTGTGACTAGCCCAAGGTCACCCAGCAGCTGCATGTGGAAGAGCGGAGACACGAACCTGGTTCATCAGATTATGAGTCTACCACTCTTAACCACTACACCACACTATACTAAGTGTGTTAATATTTATAACCCATGATAGCTTTTGGTGGAGTGCAGGAGTGCGCTCGCCAATACCACCTGGATAGTGCTTTAAGTGTTGTGGAGGAGGCCCTGCTCATGGTTCTGCCAATGAGCATGGCTTGACTGGCTATGAAATGAGCAGGACCTTCTCTGTGGCTGCACCTCAGTTCTGGAATTCCTACTCAATCAAGTTATTGCACTTGTCCCCAACACTGACATCCTTTCTCCGACAGTTAGAAGCACACCGGCTTATTCATGCCTTTGGTGAAGAGCGTATGGATGACTCATTAATCTTCTCTGCTGCATTAGATATGGTGTTCGGTATTTCAACTTTTTTAATTGATACATTATTTTACACTGATTCTGTTGTTTTATGATGTGGTTTTATTGTTGCAAGCTGCTCTGGGCTCCTTAGGGAGGAAGAGAACAACAGCAACAAATGATGAGGAGTGTGTTTTCAAACTTGCCCACTGCTTAATTCCTTCTATGTTTTAGCTCTCGTTCCTCCACTTCCATCTGAACTAGTATGGCATTATCAAGGAATCTTGAGGAAAGGTTCCAGAAAGCACACATAACTTTCAGATGTTGCAGGCTGAGGGTGAACCAATGGAAGCTTTATCCATTCAGGATGGACTTGCATGTAGTGGGCAGCGTAAATGCCAGCAGAGTGACAAAAAGCCTATTCAGAATGAAGTTACCCCAGAAAGACATAAAGCCTATTCAGAATGTGGTTACCCCAGAAAGAGCAGGTTTGCAAAGTGGAGTGTGTGCCTCTTTAATTTAGGCCTCTTCCTGGACTCTATGTCCAAAGCAGTGGCTAAGTGTATGTTTTATCAGCTGCCACCAATCTGCCAACTACACCCCTTCCTAGAAGACAGAGATCTCGTCACTGTGGTGCCATGCCATGGTACCCTCCCACCTAGACAGCTGCAACATACTCTCCACATGGCTGCTCCTGAAGTTATTCAGAAGCTGCAACTGGTCTAGAATGCAAACACCAGACTGATTTCTACCAACAGCCATGGGGAGCAGATACCAATCCTATGTGAGCTCCAACGGCTGCCAGCTGGTTCCAGGCCAAGATGCTGGTATGGACATCTTAATGTCACTCACAGCCTGGGCCTGGAATATCTACGGGGACTATCTGCATATGTATATTGTCCTCCCTAAAGATACAATGCAGCTAATCTCCTGGTGGTTCTATTTTCTATTGAATTGGTAGCCACCACAAAAGTGCTTTCTGGCTGGAGGCCCACAGACTGCAGAACCAATTGCCTACAGAGATCTTCCGAATTCAGGACTTTGCCTTTTTAAGTAGGCACTAAAAGCAAGTTTATTTACCCAAGAAGCTTTTTATGGTTAATGTGCCAATTTGGTAACTTTGGTAACTTAACACACCCACACACCACCTTCCGATAGTTTTCTTGGCATTTTAATCGTATGTTGGTTTGATCTTCTCTGCTTTGAGAATAGTTGTATTTTCAATAGTTGCATTGAAAGGCACAATGTACATTTTCTAAACAAAATAACATCACATTTTCCCTCCCCCCAAAGAAAATGTTCCATGGGAAAACCATGGCTTTTCCCACCGGACAGGGTTCCCATGGGCAGGGACAGTACCTTCTGCATAGCTGCGCACAGCACATCATTGCCTTTATGATATGGAACCTGGACTGAGCCGAGAAACTTCACCCGGTACTGGTCCACCCAATCGCTACTCTTGCTTGAATCTGAAAATCAGAAGTCCAATGAGAAGAATCCAATTCACATAGATATCCTACATGACGTAAAGTTAGGAGGGAACAGACTTCTGGTTGCTCTAACTACTGACATAGCTGTCAGGGATGGGACACAAGTCGTGAACATCTACACTCCTTCATATGAGAGATAATTTGTACACCAGCTTTGTCCTTTCCCCTTCCACTTTGAAGAGTGTCTGAAATGTCAGCATTTTCTCAGGAAAAGTCCTGGTTTACAAGACAGCTCTGAGCCAGGACTGAAGTGCACAAGCACAGAGCAGGAATGGGTACAAGTGGCCAGATATGTGTGAGTAGCAGAGCCATTGATGGGTTGAGTACCTGTCATATGATCTGGATCCTTGGTGACCTCAATTGCGTAGTAAGCAGGGAAGATGCCCCGGTCCCCTGTCCTCATATTATAAGCCTCATACCAATAGTCTTCTGCCTGAACCTCCACCAGCAGAGGGTCATCGACCTCCAATTCCAGTTCATCTTCATGACGAGGCACAAACCTGAGGAGAAAACCATGTGACTTAGCTAACTAAAGCTCTGAAGATACAACCCCATCATAAGGTTCAAGAAAGAGACCCACAAAAAATGATGTATTGGGGTCAAAACCAGACGAAAAGTGCCTGCATGTTGGCACAGATGTTATTTCTCTAGGCTTGGCTTAGCAAATAACTTCTCACATGAGTGGTGCCACCTCAGAGGAGCTGCTCATGGAAGACAGAAGGAACTACTTCTCCATAGTTAACTCCCTCCCCCCGCAAAAGTATCTACTTCAAACTGCCATATGCTGTTCCTCAGCTGCTACCCCACTGAAGACGCCACGATGAATGTGCAATGTTAGCCGGCAGTATCCTAGGCTAGCCACACAATCCTAGGGTACAGAACAAGGCTAGAACTCCATCTTGTTGCTAAGCAGCTACCTCATGTATGTGAAAGCTTCACATACAGGCCATGTTTCTGGAACAAATAGCCCATGCCAAGAACCACAAGTTAAGGGAAGGGTCGTTACAAACTACCAACCTAGAATATTTCAAGAATCATCAAACTTTTCTTTTGGTTTATGCCTGGTTGGAGCTATTGGTGAGAAAGGCTCAATAAATCTAAGGAATAATCAAACCTTTGATAGAACCAAGGGAATGAATGTTAGAGGAGCTGTGTTTATTCTCTGGATTCAGCTTTGCAATGGTGAGGGCCACTGTGAGGAAGACTTCTTGGTGACTCAGCCAGGCATAATGGATTTTGGGTATTGGTCCAGTAATTTTCAAAGCCTAACATTACGAATGGAGTTTTGTGTGCTTTTGGCAACTCTTTTGCACCCTATAAACCAAGGGATATGTTATTTGCATACATAAGGTCTGAAAAACAATTTCTCCCCTAGCTTAACAAATCCTCACAACCAACGTCCAATATAGGCAACCCTGGATGTTGAATTGAAAACCTTCCATGGGTGATAACCCAGTTCCAAGCATGTTTTTCTATCTGTACCACAAACTGAGATCCATAGATCAAGGCCACTGAAGACACCTTATGCCTTAGATGACATCTCTGCAATTCAGGTGGTCACAGGTTGGAAAACACCACTGTTTGGGTGGATGGGAGGATTCTGGGGCAAAAGGTTTTATCTGCACTCACCTGAAGACTGCTCGGTGTGTCTGCTCTTGCTCCTCCCCATTGATAATACAAGAGAAGAGACCAAATGATTCAGCACCTGGAAATGAAGTGGGGGAAAATACTATAGCCACCTAATAACTCTCATCTTCAAGCAATGAAATCAACTGTTTTCTGGAACCTGTTTTGCCAAATCAGAAGTGCCCAACAATCATCTTAACTGCACAGCTTCCTAATTTCAATTGGTGGGCAAAGATTCTCTGTGAGGAGTGGGAATTCTATGCATGAGTAGCTGCTCTCATGTAGGCACCCTCAATGGGACAATGCGTTACAGAGAGGAATAACCTGACCAATGATAACATTCTGGGTGGGTGTGTTTCATTGTTGTAAGTTCTGATAGGAGCCACTATTTCACAGCATATCCAGTTGGGAGAACAACATGGTGTTGTGCTCTCAATAAAGTTAGCCAAAGCTTTACCCTGCCAGCCTCACCACACTTCCTGCAAATGTGACAGAAATTTATGGGTTCCAAAACTCAACATAATGTAAACCTCAATTCAATATAATGTAAGATAAAATGGAGGCAACAACATGTGACAGTAGCCCAAGGATTTCCTGCAGGAATCCACTAGAGAAAAAGCCAGTCAAAAAGGTCTAGAATATTTTGGCCTCTTAATGGGCATCTGCATGAAAACAACCAATTGGCTGAGCTGGTAGCTTCTTATGGAGCAGATAAAAGGACTGGAAACATACTTCTTTTCCTTCAGTTTTGGCAGTGATATGAGGAATGGATTGTTCCCCATAAGTGTGTATACTCCTCTCCCTGTCATCTCTGGTAAACAGGTTTTTGGGGGCGTTGAAGTGTTTCTAAAACCCTGCTGGCCAGAGGTGACAGTGGGACAAAAGAAACATGAGTGGCAACAATACCCATGTCATATTCCTTTCAATATTTTGCCCCAAACAATCTTGATTTATTGAGTTCTGAGAAAGTATTATGTCATGGCCATACACTTATGTTTAGGGAGGTTTTGTTCCTCAACCCATTCAGACACCAGCATGAGACTGTAAACTAACCTTCACCAATCCAGTTCCCTCCAGATGTTTTGGACTATAGCTCCCATCACCCCAAGCTGTCACAACCAAGTCATAGTCTAAAGTGTCTGGAGGGAAACCCAGTTGGCAAAAGCTGCTCTTGAACATATTTGACATTTTCTTGAACTACACATCCAAGTTGCTCTAAGGTCTTCTGAGGTCACCTTTGGTCTTAATAAGATTGTTTTTCATGGAACTGTCTCTTGTATTGACCAGCAACTTCCTTGTACCCACTGCCGCGGCACTGGGTTATAATGCCTGAGCAAGTGAAATCTGATATGATATGCTGTGAAATTGCAGGTCCCTCCACCCCCCACCCCCCGCTCCATACTGGAATTTTCCCCAGCACTCACTGGAGGAGCGAGACCGTCCGCTCATGAAGACATTGAGGAACTTCTTGGAGAAATGGATGTCTGCCTCAGGGGTGGAGTCCTCAGAGAGACAGACAGAGTCACGTTTCAGGGCGTCCTCCTCATACTCCTCCCCAATGGCTGACTCATAGGGTGAGGAGACACAGTTGTCGTAGACAGTGGCTGAATCGCTCTCGTCGCTGTAACCTGAGTAACACTGTTTCAGGCTTACGAGTTCCAGCTGCACGTCCTCGTCTACCACAAGAGTGTATTTGACTGAATCGTAGGAGAGGGCACTGGTGTCGGAGCTCACGGATGCCCTCTGGCGGCTATGACAGGGCCGGTAGCCGCCATTGCTGCTGCTGCCATACACAGTCCTTGGTGCGTTCATTTTGTCAGGTGAGGACAGGTAGTCCAGCACTTCATCCTCCTCGCTGATTGAGGTGTTCGGTTTTCCTGCCAGTTGTGGGTAGCTGGAAGTGTCTATGTCAGAGCTGATGGACATCCGGTTATCACTGGACTGTGACATGAATGGCTTCTCAGACTCCAGAGGGTCAGAATTCTTTTGCACTGGTGTGAGGTAAATCTCCTCAGTAGCCTCCAGCCTCACATCTGTCTGGTAGCGAATGCGGTCCCGATAAGCTTCTGGCCCCCGTGTCACTACTACAACGGTGGGGTTCTGTGGTGGGGGGCGGTTGGCAACCTGCTGTTTCTCCGGTGCCCGGGACGAGGCAACACACACTGGAGCGATCTGTGTAGCAGCCGTACGCCGGCACGGGCTCTCCGTGGATGTGCCCCGATCTTTGGTGGAGGTTGTGCTGTTTTGGTGAGTGACCTCATCACTCAGGCAAACGTGGTCATGGGGAGGGGTCTGCTCACCTAAGGGTGGGTAAGGTGGGGTTAGAGAATTTATGTCAGCCAAAGGAACGAGGGCAACAGTGTCTGGGTACATCTCAACACATCTTAATTCAGAATGGTGGCAAATGCAGCTGTTGTGAAGTCCAGTCACCCAAGGGACTGAATCTAAGGAGCTGAGAGGAGCTGTTTCACTTGGTGGGGCCTCTGGGACATTACAATATTCAGGGCCAATAATAAGCAGAGTTGGTATACCAAGTCCTAAGTATTACCATTCACACCCCGAAGTTGTTATAAAACCTTCTAACTCGAATGGCCAATCTTTGGAATTAGTAAGTTCAAAACTGGAACAAATACGAAAGGAACTAGTTTCCAGGGACCACAAGGATCTTATGAGAGGAAGGAAATAAATGTAGCACACTAAGCAGATTGCTCTGTCAGCACAAGCCTTTCTGCTTGCCTGATGGAAGATCTGCTTTCTCCTCCTCCCATGTCCTGTTCCAGACAGGGGCGTAGGAATGGGGGGCCGCCCAGGTTCCATCATGGAGGGGGGTGACAAATTATCAAGGAACAACTACTGCCATACTAGGGCGGTTCATAAAAAACTTTTTTTTTTTGAAAATGCCTGCTCCAAAGGTCTTATCTTACTACACTAGGGATTATATAGCTATACTGTATATGAAATTTCATGCATATCAGTTAATATCTTGACCCTCCTCCACGAAAATAGCTGTTTACTTGGCTGTTTTTCTATGTTGTGAAGGCTGAAATTTCAATTCAGTGGAGCACTTACTGTTCCCAACCCTAACCCTGAAAAGCCATCTAATTAGACTTTAATTTGATTTTGACATGTTTTTAGGAGGTAATTTAATTATTGTTTGATTTTATACCAATGTTATGTATCTGATGTTAGCCACCCTGAGCCCAACTTCGGCCGGGGAGGGTGGGATATAAATAAAAGTTAATTAATTGATTTATTATTATTATTATTATTATTACTACTTATTATTATTCCTTTGTAAGAAAATATGAAATAACGTAAAACCATTTTTGCAGGTAAAAAAAAAAAAAATCAAAGGTGGGGGGTGACGAGAATCTTTCCGCACCTAGTACCACCTGACCTTCCTACACCTCTGGTTCCAGAGGTTTTCTCCTGACTTCCACACAGCCAATTTTGTGGGAGTGGGGAAAGGAGGAAAGCTCTGTTGCACTAGTGGAAGTCCTTGCCCAGGTTTCTGCTCGCAGGGCTCATTAGTTAAATCTTGCCCTCAGGGCCGGATTCAACTAAATTATTGTGCAAGCAGATGCCAGCACAATGTGTCCTGCTAGTGCAACAGAACTCTCCTCCCCACGTTCCCTAAATCTGCTCAGGAGGGTTGGGAGAACCCTCAGAACAGCATTCAGCAGAAGAAGGAGAGATTGGTATGTCCATCAAGCAGAACAGTGTAGAGGAGGATGAGGGGGCAGATCATTCCACTGGGCAAGCAGAAATGCTTTCACTGACAGAACTTAGTTTTAGCAGGACACTGGATTCCTCCCCAAGTGTTGTTATTAATTTGATATCTCCCCTTACTTCAAGGACTCCAGAATGCTGTTCATGTTGCTTTCACTTCACAACGCTGTGAGGAAAGTTGGACTGAGAGAGTTAATTTCTCAGACCATCTATTGAGTGCCTTGTCTGACGGGGCTTTTTGAACCCAATTCCAGCACTTGCACCCAACCTTATCACACTAGCTCTTCTGCCACAGATTGTCTTGAGCTGATGTAACAAGAGCCACATTGTGAGTTGGTCTTGGATTTTTAGAATAAGCCTGCTCTGAAGGGGAGCAGGCAGGAAAAGTCAAACCCAACCCCCCCATGGCTCGTGTGCCACCAGTCAATTAATAAAACTATAGCATCCGTTTCAAGATGCAGGCCAAAGTGAAAACACATTAGAAGGATGTAGTGAGAAGGTCCAAGCGCCAGAGAATGTACCATCATGCAAAAAGGGGGAGGAAAAAGATAGAAAGAGAACCAGTCGCTGTACAGAGATGAACTCACCAGTTTTCAGAGGGGATGACGACCGGGACACTCGCTCCTGCCAACTGTGCTTTTTCCCCAGAGAGTTGTTATTCAGAGTGTCCTGAGCAAAAGAACAAAGCGGCCTTGTAGCTGCAAGGGTAAACGGCGCATGGCACAAAGGGGGCCCCATCAACCCCCCCCCAACTCCAGCCTATGGCCCTGCTGCTTCCCCCTCCCCCCTCCAGCTATTGTCTGTGTGCATTCATAGGGATTCAACAGCTAAATCCATCTGTTGCTGCTGCAGCCGCAGATGCCAGAACCACTGTAGTTCAGATCCACAATGAAGCAGTTGAGAGAAAAGGGAAAAAGGAGAGGAGATGGAGCAAGGCATGGGGACTGGGGTCGGGGGGAGAAAGTAACCCCCAAGCCTTTGTCAGAAAGAAGCAAAATGTCACATTTCCAGGTACCATTCACTTGTGCTTCGCTGCTGCAGGGAGACTAAATCACACAAATGCTCTCTCTTTCTCTCAGGGACTCATCCACACTACTGTTCATTCTGTTTCCAAGCAGTTTTGCCTTTGCCCTGGAAAACTCTCTCTTTAGTGCTAAATCAGAGCAAACAGCACTCTGCAGAAAAGCTGACTGCTGTTTGTTCCGATTCAGCGCTGAATCACAGGATTTCCCAGGGGGAAGTGGCAGGGCAAACGTAAATGTGGATGAGCCATTGTTCCCATTAGTCAAAGAATTTCAGGCATTCTAACACACTGCTGCCACAAGGGGCTGAGTTGCATTCTACAGCGTAGCTCCTGGCATTTCTCCATCCCCTCCAAAGCAGCAGCCCAGAGTGAGTCAAGGTGGTGCTCTGCAGAGGTTGCTGGATGATGACTCCTATTATCTCTTAGCCAAGTTAGTTGAATGATGAGACTTGGGAGTCCCAACACCATGGAAGGCACCATGTTCGCTATCAATCCGGTAGCCAATTAATCAGGATGGGGTGGGGAAACATTCAACACAATGACATCTCAGTGTGCATTTGTCTCCCCAAACTTTACCAGGGAGATTCAGTTTCTGGGTGGGAGAAGAGACACAGGTTGGCAGTAACCGTGTATCCATTGTATTTCATAAAGAGTCCCTATCAAAAATAATATTATTGATTGGATAAGGCCATGGAGCAAGGCATTCACTGAAGTACCAGACATTAAAGCACACTTTTATGAGAAGGGTGTATGCTTTTTAAAGGTGCACAGCCTATGAAGCATAAAATCCTATAATTGAAGAGTTGGAAAGGAGCCAAGGGCCATGTAGTCCAACCCCCTGCAATGCAGGAATCACAGCTAAAGAATTCCTGACAGATGGCCACCCAACCTCTGTTTACAAATCTCCAATGAAGGAGAGTCCACCTGTTGAGGCAGCTCTTACTGTGAGAAAGTTTCTCCTTATGTTTAGTTGAAATTACCTTTCTTGTAATCTGAATACATCAGTTTGAGTTCCCCTGGTAGAAGTAGAAAACAATTTTGTTCCATCATCCATGTGACAGCCCTTCAGATATTTGAATATGACTATCATAATTCCTTGGCTATCATGAATTAAAGGATTCTGGAAAGCCTGTGCCCAGTGACGCTGCCATGTGCTGTGTCCCCTAACCCATCTCTAGCTGCCTCAGTCCCTTTTGTGTCTCTCAGGGAGCTACTCCCAGAGGCTGCTTTGGCTCACCCACTCGTGCTTCAGCCCTGGTACCACCCAACTCTCTGCCCATCTCTCTACCAGGGAGGTCCTTGCTTTCCCAGGGCAGAAGTGGAGGAGAATGTTACAGGAAGCAGCTTCTGAGAAGGCTCTTCCTCTGCTGCTAAGTTAAAAAGCACTGTCTCCTGCAAAAGGGTATCTTGAACAGGCCCCCAGGGCCACTCAGTCCTCACAGGCCAAGCAGAAGGAAGGTGCACCTTGAACGCTAAGCTTGTAGAAAGGCAGCATATAACATTTCTAAATGGATTCAAGTAAGAAAACTACCATATGTACAATGGGAGAGGCAGGGGCAAGGAAACATACTTGCACCGATGGTTAACAAAAGGCATGCATACTTTCTGAATGAAAACAATGAATGTAAAAGCAAACTTCTGATGGACTCCAGAACAACACCCCCAAATTTCTCTAAAAGCCATTTCATGTGTCCCCTTGTTCATTTGCTGCTCCCAGTTCCCATTTTGCTGAATTTGCTGAAATTAGATTATTATTTTTTCTATGTTAAATTATTTCCTCAGCTGCATTTGCCCAAGCCTAACTTCCCTCTGCAGCCCTTTGGAATCTTTCATTTGCTCCTCCCATTATCCCTGTAAAATAAAATTAAACCTGCAGCTAGAAGCTTCCTAGGCCTTGGAGACTTAAAGCACTGTTTCCTAGCCATTTTGGTTCCCCGGCGTGCTGCTGGATTGCAGTATGAAAGGAATGCCCCGGGACCTGCATGAAGCAGTACATAGAGGCAGGAAGAGAAGGGAGGGCAGTGGGATGCACTGTCCCAAGAGATTGTCCTTTCTGCAGCCAACGAAAGAGAGAGGCTGCCACTAGCTGCCAACGTAGCTTTGAAAGCTGCTCTTGTGCTGGGGCAAAGGAGCCCATGTCCCCATCTGCCTCTGCGTGGCTCCCGGTGGCAACTGCACAGGCTTCAAGCTGCCTGAACAGCAACCATTTCTGCCAATGCATGTCCAGAGGAGGGGCTAGCAGAAAAGGAAGCAGCTTCTCCCCCAACACACACACACACTTCAGATGACGAGAGACTGGGATTATGAGATCATACACTTGTGACAGGAATCAACAGAGTTCTTTGGAGGCATTATGCAACCATCTCAATATGGTGATTGAGGGCATTCTGCATGATGTGCCACAGACAAAAGACTCGAAGCTCTCATGATCTGGAGAGGGGTAGGGCTCCCTGTTCCTGAAGAGCTTGTAATATAGTTATTCCTCCACCCATGATACTTGACACTAGTGGTACAAGGTCCTTCACTCAGGCTAGCCTTGCTGACTCTGCAATTTCTGCTGCAGCTTGTTGGGTGTGTTTGGAGATAGGAACATTGGCCAAGAGTTGCTGGAAGAAGACACGGCATCTGGTTTCATGAGAGGGAATTACTAAGAAGGGAATCACATTCAGCGCAAGAGCAGTGCTGTAAAGTCTGAGGGAAAGGGATGAGCTGGAAGCTGGACGCTTATCCTTATGCCCTTTTGACAATCCAGTCGCTCTGCACTGCAACACAGTGATGCTTCTGATGCAGTGTCAAAAGATCCTTACTGCACCAGGACATTTTGACACACTGCCCAGCAAACATACTCCTTTCGAGCAACTGAGTGTCTCTAGCAGGGAGGGAGATATGGATTTAATGGTACAATTATCAATGGTAGCTGACATGAGATAAAGTCTATGAAACACCACACAGGGAACGCTGGAGATAAAACTTTGCACATACATTAGAAAACAAAGATATCTGTTGTGATCTTTCCGATTTATTAGATTACTTGAAAGGGACTTTGGAGGAGACAAACGCAGCATCCAAGAATTGTAATGTAGGAGGTGAACATATGATTATTATGAATGTGAAAAGGGGACTGTAATGAGAATGAGCAATTCTAGCCGACTGAGGAAAGAAACCTCTGTATGAACACACCTTTCATCTGATGTTGCCTTGGGGCTTCTTCTCTCTGCCGTATGTGAAGCAGCAACCATCATTCGCTTCAGACAAAGGTGGACCTTTTCCCAGGCTTTCTCTAACTTATTTGACCCTGTCTTCATTAGCCTTAATTCTTCATTTTATACTACAATTTCACTGGTATTTTTATTTTTATTATTATTATTATTATTATTAATATACTGCCCTATACCTGGAGTTCTTAGGGAGGTTCACAGAACAAATATGCTGTATTTTTGTTTTAATGATGTTGTTTTTAAGTTGCGTACTGCTTTGAGATTTTAAAAATATTAAGCAGTTTCTAAATGCTATAACATAATAAAATAAAACATGCTTTCTTATAGCACTCTCAGAACCAATCTGACTGGTGCCATGGAATCGGGGAAATTATTGTTAATTCTAAAAATGTACTAAACAGGTGCAGGTACAGTACAGAAGACAGCGAAGATATAAATATGTTAAGAACACATTCCTTTTTATTGGATGCTGGGACGATAATCATATCAGCAATATTGGCCCATAAAGTGTGTAAACAAGGTTAAAGGATAGATCTAAATAAATAAATGAAATTGGAACTAGGATTTCTCTCCACAGGATTATTTCAGCACCGACTGCCATGCATTTGTGTGCCTGAAAGTATTTTGTCTGAACAGATCAGTCATACATATTGCTGACTGATGATGCTATGTCCGGAAGCCAGATCTGGGGAAGTCTCATGAATGCAGAGAATTGCACTGGAACTAGCTTTGAAATGCCACAGTTTGGACCATGGCTGTTTCTCTGTCTCCTTGCCAAAATTAATGTCATATTCCTCCAACCCATGTGTGAAGAAGAAAACGGTAGTTGGCAAAGTGAGACTCTGCCCAGATAAAAATAAGATCTTATGATCTGGGTTACAGCTCTTATAGGCCTTTTCAGGAAATTCCAGGCCTGAAAGGGTTACTTGCAGACTCCAGCTCTCAGTGCCAGCCTTTGCACACCCCCCCCCCCCCAAATCAGATATATAGCTGGACTGACAGAGCAGCAGAAATAGCTTGGAGAGAGGTCTGCTGCTGACATAGCTAAGTGCCCTGGAAACTCCTGCCTGTTCCTTTGGAAACGGACAATCTTAGCATCCAGATTTTGCCATTATTGTTGCTCCTGAACAGGCAAAACCAACAGGATAAAAGGAGAGTTTAAGTCAGTCTGGAGACATATTCAGCTTTCCCTCTCAGGGAAAAGTACATTAAAACAGCAAGTCAAGGCACCCACAGAGCCTGCTCAGGGCAGCCTGGCTGAGGAAGAGCCCATGACGTAAATTGCCACCTTTATTATCTGGGAAATTACTCATTTCTGTTGGCTCTTCCTGGCACTAGGTGTATGGGGAGGGGAGCAAGTGAGATCACCGCTCACTCCAGGCCATATTTAACTTCTATGAATATTACTCACCTAGTTCATAAACACCCCTACAGCTATTTAATTTTCATTATTCCCCCAACACCTATGGCTGCTTGTACCTGCCATACATAGCCTTCTGTGAATTCTTCTACCTATCCACTCCCACATGCAGAAGCGAAACACGGACAAGTCAAAATCACTCATCACACTCACACCTGTGAGGACTGCCCTCCCCACACAACCCTCTTCCTGCACCCAAACTTGAAACTCCTTCTCCAAGGAAAGAGTTGGAAACAGAAAGAATTTCTTAGCTAGTAGGAGAGTGGGGGACTCACCTTAGAGGACTGCATTATGTTTTTGGCCTGCCTTGGCCTAAAAAAAACCCCTTTTCTCATACACTCTCAGTGAGCAGCACCATAACCCTCACCACCCTGCTGTTTTTGCTCCCCAAGACCACTCTCATTCTCCTGCGGCAGTAAGCTTGTATTAACATTACTCTGGTGATTTAGCATCTTGGACTGGAAATCCCACCTCCCCTCTATTGAAAAGAAATAAACATAATACATCAGTATGTGTTTGAAGGGATAGTATGCATGCACAAACCACAAGAATAGTATTTTTGTCTCCTTTAAACATACTGTCTCTCTGGCCCAACACCAGGGGCAGACCTTTGAACCCCATCCCAAGATCAAAAGGTTTCTGGAAAAGGAGATTCTGCTTTTGTGGACGACAACAACAACACACTCGCCTCAGTCTGGTGCTGTACCAAGTACCCAGACAGGCCCACCCAGCTCATTCACCCTAGTCTTGGTAAAGCAAGCCAGATCAGCTCCTTCATCCATCATGAAGGGATCAGTCAGATTAGTCCCTTCATCAGCCCCTATACCAGGGGAGGTGGATCCCTGTTGGTTCTCCTGGATCTCTCAGCAGCTTTAGATACCAGAGACCATGGTATCTTCCTGGAGCAGCCCTACAAACTGAGAGTGGGGAGCACTGTACTGTGATGGTTCTGCTATCTGCAGAGTAATTTTTGACTCATCATCAAGCACCTACCTTGTTCCCCCACACTTTTTAAACACATATGAAACTGCTGGGTAAGAAGATAGGCATTTGTGGATGGCGCCCAGCTCTATTTGTTTATACCATCTGAGTCAGGTGAAGCCCAAAGTCTGGCAGCCGTAAGGGCTGGATGAGAACCAATAAACTGAAGCTGAATCCTGACAAGATGGGAGGTGGTTCCTATGCCCAGGAACAGGGTAAGCAACCTGTTCTAGAGGGATTCACACTCACTGATATGGAGCAGGCAGTGCTCCTTGATTCTAAGTCGAGACTGGATGTCCAGGAAGGCAAGGTGTGCACATGCCCAGCCAGGGCTGCCACCTTGCCCCCATAATTGAGGGACACCAGGTCCCCATGACATCAGCATGCCCCACGGCGTGCTTGTAGTGTGCGCACATGCCTCATGGTGTGCTGGTGTCACTCGCGCATGCCCCAAGGTGCGGGCACCCCGTGGCTTGTGTGTGTGATGCAAGCATGCCTCATGGTGTGCACGCATGTCATCACAGAACTTTGTGGGGTCCTGGCCCTTCCATCAGAAATACTGGGGGAGCTTGTGTCCCCCCCCCCCGGCACCTATGCGCCCCGCCACAGCTGGTTTACCACCTATGGCTATTCCTGAACTGAGATAACTTACGGTAGCTACCGTTATTCATGCTCTGATAGACTCCTGACTGAATTACTTCAATGCCCTCAACACGGGGCTGCCCTCGAAGAGTGTCCAGAAGCTGCAGATAGTGCAAAATGCAACAGCTCAGCTGCTGTATGGGATCCCAAAGTGGAGACGTATTACAACTATTCTTTGGGAATTGCACTGGGTGCCTGTATACTATCAATACTTGTTAGGACACCTTTCCCAGTAGGTCCTGCTCAAGGATTGTGGTCCTCATCATAATGGCTGTCTCTGCAGGTGCATCTGCTGTGAAAATTCAAACACGGCTATTCTTCAATCTCATCTTGTTTGGTTCTAAGACAGAGCTCAAAACTGCTGGCACTGAGTGCTAAAGCCAACAAATGGGGTATCTCTTGCAGAAATTTCAGGGTACAGCCGAGTTACACATGGTCCTGGGCACCAGAGGGAATGTTGCAGCGTGCATGAGACTATGACAGTAGGTGTTTTCCAATTTTACTCTCCTATAGAAGTTGGAGGCGCAGCTATGATGAGAGCGGCTTTGGCCCACCTGGTACTTTCCAGGTATTCTGGACTACAAGTCCCATCAGCCCCAGCCAGTATGGCCAAGCTGGGTAAGAGGGCTCTATCCTTGTCCCCTTTTTCTCCAGCCCAAGCCATTCAGCTCTTCAGCTGGAGCTTTAATAGCCTCTATTGTCAATTGCATAATGGTACCAATTCCCAGCCCCCACCTACACACACACACACACACACACACACACACACACAGAGAGAGAGACATGGAGTCTTCACCATCTGCTGCACAGAGCAGCACCTGCCTTTCGGTGCACTCTCCATTGCTAACGTCACTGTGAAAATCTTCTTATATAGTAAGTGGAGCCAATATCCCAGAACAGCATACGATTAAAAATAGTCTCTTGTTGCATGTGGAACCCTACTTGCTCTATAGACTAAACAACAGAGAGGCAGATAAAGAGATTGCAGGTGGCTAGCCTGCGAACAGTTACAGCACGGAGCGCTGAAATCTACACTCCTGCTCCCGGATGGAGGAGGGGTGCTGCAGATATAGGGCAGTTAAAAACTCTTTCCAGTATCATGCTACATAGCCAAAATGGATTGCTCACACATTTCCTGTTACTTCTAATAAATGCTCCCTTTTGAATACTTTCAGCAAGTTCTCTTCCCACTTCCTGGTAAAATTGCTTCCCACCGTAAGTGCTCTTCCTTACACCACCATCGAATCATAGTTGGAAGGGACCCCAAGGGCCATCTAGTCCAACCCTCTACAATGCAGAAACATGCAGGTGGCCTTTATGGGGATCAAACCCACAGCCTTGGCATTATCAGCACCATGATCTAGCCATCAGAGCTAACTGGAATATTTTGTTTCCTTTAATGTAATGAAGTGTGGTACAGTCTGCTAATGCTACTATAATTCCATTAGTCCTTAAGGTGCTGCAGGATTCTTTGTGTTTACTTTAACAGATTAACATGGCTGCCCCTCTGTAATTTTGGTTCTTCTGTGCCCACATTGTTCTTTTCTGAGCAAATCCCCTTTGAACTAATACTAAGTTATTCTGACCAGTATCCCCAGGTAGGCGTCTAATCTTGTTCAGGGGGTATATCTTTCCTGACAATGGTTCCTAGGGCGCAACAGGTTACAGACAACTCTGGCGTGGCCAAAGATGGCCTCACAATTCTCTGGGCCAAGTCCAGAATCTTGGTGCTTTTTAGAGCTTCATTCCTTAGGCACAAAACAATGCACCATTCTATAGCCATTCAACAGAAGAGAAGATCACCATGGACCGAATGCATTATAAACCATTTCGACGCAGGATAAATTAAACAACAAGGCACCAGTATACATGCCAAGAATTTCTAGAGGAAACTTGGCATTTATCATTTGCGTGACTCATTTGAGGACGGGAATGCACAGAAGAGATGTTGTGGAATGGTTTGATACTTCCCAGGCAAAAGGATATGGAAGTGTTAACTTCCTTACCTCGGAGTAAGCCCCACTGAGAATGCAGGAGAATGAGCTGTTCCTTTCTTTCCACCCACACCCTCTTGCACACACAAACACTGCACACAGCCTCCCTTCATCAGCAGAGCTGTTATCCCAGCCAAACGTCTCCCGGTAAAGGGATTAACCACTTCCAGCATGTTATCCCTATGGTCTCATTTCTGGGGAGGTAATTCTCGCTTCCCCAAAACGGTGTCCATTCCAAAATGGATTCCCTGCCTTCTTAACTCATTAAAACTTATTCTAATCCACAGTCTGTTGGCTATCAGACTCAGAACATATTTTGAACAGAAATAATGTTAAACTCTGAGCATGTTCAGAGTACATTCCTCTCACAGATAACAGGTTCCCCCCCTCCCCACACACATGTGCACACACCACACAATCTTGGGATTGTACAGCAGCATTTCCTACTTAAAGACTATAACATCTACAGTGGTTTGAGCCCCAGAACATCTCAATTCAGAAATAAAGCACTGAAACCCAGTCTCCCCACCCCTGCCACCTTCTAATCCCAGAATCTACCACTGACTCTCACAATCTTTATGGAAAGATAAAGCATGCAGAGCTCCAAGACACCCCAAAGGCTCTCTGGCAGCTTTCCCCACCAATTAGAGCACATTCTTGCCCATAAGCAACACAACTATGGGGGGGGGGGAAATGTGAGGTTTGAGTTCAGGGAGGTGAACATGCTTTCTTTGCTTTGCAGACACTGACTTATTTCTGCAGGGGGAAACTATCAGCTTTCCTCTTCTGCTTGATAATGACTGGGAACGATCACAGAGCAATCCAAAACATGTTTATTCAGATCTAAGACACAGTGCTTGTCTTATTCCTGCCCTGCCCTCTCCTGCCCTCCTACCCACCTCACCCCCTTTCTCGCTTGAGGGACTCACCTGCGTCCGAGGCACCTGTGGGAAGAGATTGAGCGTCGTGGGCCGCTTGGGTCTGTAGGTGTCCATGGTCACTGGCGGGGGCTCCTTCTTGATGGGCTCAGGAGCCGTCCCTTCGTCGCCTGGGGTGTCCCCAGTAGCATCAATCAGGTCTAGCTGAAGCATCTCTGCCTGGAGCCGGCTGGCCTCCCCTCCACCCACTCCCAGAACGCCACTGGTCTGCAGATTCACATGGCTCTGCCAGGATATAAAACAGGGACGGAGGGAGGGAGAGAGTGAGGGAGAGAAAGAATGAGAGCAGTAATAAGGCTAGGAAGCAGAGGAGGGTGGGTCAGGCAGTCGCAATTCATCAGCAGCAACCGTCTCCTTGTGAAAGGGCATCAAAGCTCCAAATCAAAGCCACCTAGACGAGAAGCTGTCGACTTGTCACCGTATCAAAAGCTCTTACAAACCACTCCTCACAGCAGCCCTAACAAATAATTGGGACACCGTACTCCCACCCCCTCCGTTCACTGTGTAACAAATAATTTCTGCAGGACAAAGTCAGGGAAATACAGATAAAAGTTCTCAGGTGGTAAACCTGTGCCTGGACTACCCCACTTTGGGATGCAGGCAGAGGATCACGTGATGGGACTGCTTCTTCATCCAAAGAACCCCTGAGCAAAGAAAACTAGATATTGAGGAAAGGGTTCTGACGTAGCCTTCTCAGTCCTATGCTTGGTTTTCTGTATGCAGAGATTGGGTGCAATCGCCAAAGTCTTTTTTTCCTGGACACTTGCCCCCTTTCCACCCCCTTTTTAATTTCTAAAAATAATTTTGCCAAGCACATACAGCAGAATGTGCACAAGTTTAAAGTGCATACTGTATACAATGAGGGAGTCATTCGACCATGAACCTCCTTGTTCATGTGATATCTTTTAAAGTGAGGCTACTTGCCAGACTTTTGACTTACCCATAGCCTAGGTTGCCCAAACACAAAGTTTTCCAAAACTTACCTACAGATGCTCTTGCTATTCTGTCACAATTCTAGCAACTAAGCAATCCAAACTTGGGTTTTGGGTAGATTAGGAAGGGGAAAACTGTAAACTTCTAGATGCTCCAACTCCCATCAAGGATGATGGGAGCTGTAAGCCAGAAACATTTGGAGGGTCATCGATTCCGTATCCCTGGTGCAGAGGGCAAGTTCTAGAAAAACAAAAAACTGATCCTGACCTCAGCTGCCACCTACTGGAGAGTGCCTAGTAGGTCCATATTTAATCAATCAATGTACAGTCGTACCTTGGAAGTCGAATGGAATCCGTTCCAGAAGCCCATTCAACTTCCAAAATGTTCGGAAACCAAAGCACAGCTTCCGATTGGCTGCAGGAAGCTCCTGCAGCCAATCGGAAGCCGTGGAAGCCCAGTCAAACATTCGGGTTCCAAAGAACGTTCACAAACCGGAACACTCACTTCTGAGTTTGTGGCGTTGGGGAACCAAAATGTTTGAGACACAAGGCATTCGGGATCCAAGGTACGACTATTAATTTTCTATACTGTCCTTCATCTGGCAATCACAGGGCAGTTTGCAACATAAAAATACAAAATAAGAACACCAAATACATAATAAAACCAAGAGAAACCAGTAACTCCCCCCCCCCCCACAAATTTAAAGGGCCACAGAATGTTAATCAGCCAAAGGCCTGGTTATAGAGAAACGCTTTTGCTTGGCGACTAATGATATGTAATGAAGATGCCAGGCGAGCCTCCCGGGGTGAGCATTCAAAAAATGCAGAAAAGGCCCGTTCTCGTGTTGCCACCATCTGGAACTTTCATGGAGCAGGCACACGAATAAGGGCCTCAGATGATGAGCACTGGATCCAAATCAGTTCATATGGGGAAAGGCGGTCCTTGAGGTACTGCGGTCCTAAGCTGTTTAAGGCTTTATAAGTAAAAACCAACACTTTGAATTGAGCCTTGAAACTAATTGGCAGCCAGTGCAGTCGGGCCAGGATTGGTGTAATATGCTCAAACTGTCTTGCCCCAATGAGGAACCTGGCTGCCAAATTCTTTACCAGCTGAAGTTTCTGAACAGTCTTCAGAGGCAGCCCAACATGTTGCAGTAATCTAATGAATATGAATAGCTTAAGGAAGTAACGCCAAGGCAATCTGGGCACGGCAATTTTTCCTAACTCTTGTTAGAACTCATAAGGAATTCAGTGGTAAGCAAAACCAAATCCCCAAAGTGTCTCCACTGAAATGCCTATGGATCATTCTGAAAATGTAAATATTATGCACTGGGTCGCTCTATGACACAGGAAATATCTTTCTCAATGCCTTTCTGTGGTAAATGAGGAATCTTTAAGTCTTTAAGGTAACAAGAGCTTTAAGTTAACAAGAAAGAAACCATTTGTACAGCTGTACAACCATTTTTTAAAAGCCCCAGAGTGTCTTAAAACCAAAGAGCTGAAAGGAGACAAAGATACACTGATTTTAACTCCTTGGTACCAAACATACCCAGACTACCACCCGTACACTTCATCTCCTGACACTGTTCAGAACACATAAGAACACATAAGAACACATGAAGGGAGCATGTGCTCCACAGAAAAGTCTTTGCAGAAGACACAGATCCAGGTAATTCAAGCAAGTGAGCCAAGCCCCATAATATGCTGGAAGACAATCCCATTCCTTCTGGGTCAATAGCCACACTGATTTTGAGGAAAATTTCTTTCTATCATCAATATGTTTACTAGCGAAGAAATGAGCCAAAGTTATCCGCCACATATTCCTAAAGACCACTTACTGCACTGCAAAGCTATAGCCACACAATGGCTTCATTTGCATATAGTGCTCAACCAAACCATGATTTTAGAGAGCGCAAGAAAATGTGCAGGTACCTAGAAAGAAAAGCCTGGCTGCTTCGCTTCTCCCCTGATCCTTCTTCTCCTGCTGCGTTATCCTGAGTTAATTCACAGACTCATGATTTGTCTCCCCCAAACACTCTTAGGAAGCAAGGCTGAGAACTTAAAAGCTCTTGGTATGCTTGGGGTTCCCCATGCAAAAAAGAGATTTTAAGCTCTTGGCCTTCCTTCTCAGCAAGGCCCACTCTGACTACGGGAATGATAGGGAAGCTCTCACAAAATCTTGCAGGACATCCCACAAGTTCTTGTGGGAGAAACTTCTCCCTGCCTGTGTATAGGTGAAATTGCACATGTTAAATGTGTGTAAGATGCATGCATAGTATATACTACATAATCTCTCAAATTACAGAAGGGAAATCTATGTGCCTTCCAGATGTTGTTGGACTTCAACTCCCATCATCCCTGGCTACTTTGCTAGCTGAGGCTGATGGAAGCTGGAGCCCAACATTCAGAGGCACACAGCTTCTCCATCCCTATTATAAATGCTTGCTTTTGTGCCATTCCCAGTTTGCCTTATGATGAGAGCTGCACTCTTCTCTCAATTGCCCAACCTTGATTTGTGATCCATTTTCCAGATTTATGTTCTTCGTAAGTATAGATTTAATAATATGCAGCTCACTGAAGCTGCACTAAGAATTGCTGCATCATGATTTCCATGGACAACAGATCATTCAGACTTTTCTTTTTCTTCTCCTCCCTGGGGTTTAATGGCACAGCAAGGCCAATGAAATACTACAACTCAAGGTTCTTCATGAACTTTTTTTTGTGTGCTTAGCCCTATCACTTTTTTTGTGTGTGCTTAGTCCTTCACCATCCTTCCATAGCACCATTTATCTTTAATCAGAATACAGTTTTGAGTATTTTTCACTGAGAAAATCTCCTTATTTTTGCCTGCATTCCTGATACTATGTTGGAATCATATCAGCGGAAAAGTTCTGTCCTTCCTCTACATAAGTAGACCCGAGTTCCATTCTCAGTTCTTCCTCCTCTTCCAAACCCCTATTTATTCCTGATGATACAGCACACATCTTTAGAGCATTCATATGCATGAGCAGTCACCGCTTGCCTCTGGGGAGCTGGGCTGGGGATCATCAAGCTGTCTACTTTACATGGTGCACTTAAGAATGGCAGGTGCACTATGAAGTAATAGACAGAGCAGCATCAAGTTCCTGTCTGGAGAGCTCCATTATCCAGAAATGTTGGAGGCCTGGAAAGGACTGTGTGTGCCAAGAGAGGAGAACAGGCTATATGCAATAATGAATCGCTTTCAAAACTGCATTGTAATTATTTTGTGGTCCTTCCCGATTAACTGGTATAAACAAAACTGAAGGTTTAAAATGTGGCACAATGATTAACACCCCAGCATCACTTCTTTTCACTAGCATGGCAAACTATTCAAACTTACTTTGCGCTGCAGTATGACAGAGTTGCTCCACAACCTCACAAACTACTTCCATTGTGAGAGGGAATAAAACAATGTTAGACAAAACAAGGCCCTAAGAACTGGCAACTGTATAGCTCGATATGGGCAGGGCTCAGGATTATTTATCTATACATCCAGCTATAGCAGCAGTGGGGAACCTCTGAGATACCTCTCTCCATTGCTCCCCTCCTGTAAAGCCCATTTTTCCTAACCCACCTTCCCGAGCCCCAACTTGTCTCACGTGGATTTCTAAGAACACACTTTTATGCAGAGCAAAGCACACTGTTGAAAGTAGACAAAAGCGTACTGGTGCTAGCCATCCCTTTCAGCTCTGCTACTGCAACCGCAGGAGGTCGTAAATTTCTAGTAAACCATTTGAAAACCTACCATCCCTTCGTCTGCCTGACACCGTCTGTCCCAATTCTGTTAGCATATGTCTCAGACAGCCATTCTGTCCCAAGTCTCCTTCAGAACATCTGTAGTGGGCTTGAACTCTGAAAGGGTGTCAAAGCAATGTGGCTCTAGTGCAGATGTCAGTGTGTGTTGAAACTAATCCATCAGCTGTCACGTTCTGGCATTCAGGCTTACTGGGCATTTTAGCAAAGGGTTTTTCTTTGGCAAGATGGAAGAATCTTAGGCTGTGTACACCCAAAATTTTATTCTAGAATCAATGGAGACTGAGTTGTTTTCCCTACATGGTTTTCCTTACATAGACTGGGTTGTTTTCCCTCCACAGTCCGCACACAAACCAGATCTATTGCGTATATATTTTGCTCCTGAAAAGTGCTCATTGGAAAACTGTCATTTTGAAAATAAAAGCTCATTGCAGTAAGGTGGCAATC